CGCTTCCACCTATTGACCCATAACACATTCTCCAAAAAAATTATTGTCCAAAACACATTTTTCCCTAAAAACTTTTTATCACAATAACTGTCTTAATATTTCAATTATCACAATAACAAATTATTAAAGAAAAATGAAAAAAAGATTTGAGGAAACACAGGCAAGCTAATTACAGGAGTCAACCAGAACTCAAATCATATCTATTTTAGTCCGAATCTTTGAGTTAATTGTTCCAATGGTCACCGAACTTATATTTATATCTTTGATTACTCACTAAAGTTTAAAATGTCGAATTTTAATCACTAAACTTATCCAAATGTGGGACGTTACTCACGGTATAACATCTTTTTCAAACCTTTAACGACATTAGTGACATGGTTAGAGGAACATACATGTGACGTCCCGTCTGCTATTAACAAATTGTCACATCTTAGATTGCTAACTGAATTTTCAAAAATGTATTCGATTACTCAATAAACTTTGAAAAACGTTTTTGATTGATCATTAAAGTTTGAAGTAGTCGAATTTTGACCATTAAATTTATAAAAATGGCGTGGACTTGTTGTTCGTTAAAATATGTGTATCGCAAACGTACGGGTAGTGTAAAAGTAATAAATTGGATAGACGAATCTGGGTTGTCAATTCCACGAGAAATAATTACTTAATTACATAATTGTTAAAGAATAATGTTACGTGTACATAATGGTTTACACAATTACAAGTGGCATTGATCAAAACTTTTAATTCAAATCTGATCATTTCACATCAACCACAAGATTGTTGTCACATCACATTGTGTCAAAGATTGTGTACACTTATTATGTACACTTAGCATTTTTCATTGTTAAATTTAATTTTAGTATATTTTGTAGAATTTTAAATTATTTTCATCATTTTTCAAAGCAGTGAGTAATTGAACACGTGATAATTTGTTAAAGGTGTGATGAGACGTAGCCAACGGTTAAAGATTTGGTAAGGATGTATGTCGTGAGTAACGTCCAACGTTTGGATAAATTTAATGGTCAAAATTCGAAATCTTAAAACTCAGTAAGCAATGGATGACAAGTACGTAATTTTAGCGTCCATTGAGACAATTAACTCCGATTCTTCCTAAACTGCGATAAAAGAAGAAAAACCTCATCCCCACTCCACCTGTTCGTATAAATTCTCCAGAGAAAACCTAAACAAGAATTTATTGAGCACTGTTCCGTGTTATTATTTGTTATTATCAGTTCTTGTTATTGATGGATTTGAACCTGGAATTGCCTGAGGGCACAGTGCAGAACGTGCTGGATCAGGATACGCTCAAGTGGGTTTTCGTCGGTGGCAAGGGCGGCGTGGGAAAGACGACGTGCAGTTCCATTCTTGCAATTCTACTCGCGCGGGTGCGACCCTCTGTGCTTATCATTTCCACTGACCCTGCACACAATCTTAGTGATGCGTTCCAGCAGAGGTTCACCAAGACTCCTACACTTGTTAATGGGTTCTCCAACTTGTACGCCATGGTATGCGTGCGAGTCTCTTCTTTTAACTTCTTGAACTGTTTTTTCTTTCGATGCCTTTGTGAGTTTCTTGATTGATTTATAGCTTGTTTGGATTTATTTTAGTTGGTTTGATATGGAAAGATGGAATATTTGTGGGATTTTGATTGAACTTTGGTATTTGATGAATTGAAAGGGAATGTGGAAGATCTTAGTTGGAACAAATGTAAAGGTTTCTCCTCTTTTTAAACCTCACTTTTTACATTTTTCAAATATTTTTTCTTTTGGTTTTGTATTCCTTTGACATTCGAAGCATTGGTGATGGTTGGCATAGAGAAATAAAATTTATTTGATGTATATACAATTTGAAGAACACGTGTGCAATGTAGTTACTTGTGTGATATCTAGTGTGGCGGCAGTCGGGAATTCTGTACAACAATTAGCTTGTATCAAGGTTCCCCTATGAGCTTTTATTTTTATGCTTTAGTTATATTCATATATATTATAGTTTTAGTTAATGGGATTATCGCTATTATACTATTGAAGTTCAGATACAAATAAATTAAAGAACATTGTGTCATCAGTTCTATAAGGATGGGAATCTTGTATTTGTTAAGGGTTTTAGAATAAGTAGAATTAAGACCCTGAATCATTTTGTTGTAATAAGAAGAAAGAGGGCGGCAAAGTCAAAATAGATGACCACATGGAAATTTTTTGACAGTTTGTGGTTAGGATTTGGTTCAAAATCAAGTTGCATTTGTATAGCCTATAGGCATATCTAGTAGTGTATCAAGTGATATTGTTTTTATCCTGTGGATTTTCAAATTTCTTGTATCTTGGGTTTTTATTCATTGCAAATTTGCAATTCTGCCTAACAGGAAGTTGATCCTAATATGGAGAATGAAGACCCATTGGGTTCAGATAATACAGATGGGTTTCTATCCGACTTAGCAAATGCTATTCCTGGAATTGATGAAGCTATGAGTTTTGCAGAAATGCTGAAGTAAGTTTTGTGTTCATTACTATTTCGAGATGATCCATAGATTAGTTTTGCAATGTATGAATGTTTTTCCACCCTCCATTTTAAATATATTGGCCAAGGTGTAATGGTTGATCCTCAACACCACACCAATTTCACACAACCTGGATTAATAAACTCAAATAACAAATTGAATTTTATTGCTTACTATGATAAACTGCAACAACAGAAGAATTTCAGAAGAATTGATAAAGAAAGGGGAAGAGGTAGAAGAAAGACTTGGAGAAGAAGAATCCAATTCACATCACGCTCCCTCTATTTTCCCAATTACAGCTATATAACTGACAATTTATAGGAAGAAAATGTGAATGCTAAGAAGGAAAACATGACTAACTCATACAATTTTGATTTTAACTAAAACAACACCGTTTATTCTTAAATCAAAACGAAACCATTTAATTCTATCCAAACGACACCATCCAAACTTCTGAATTTGAAAGTTGGGTGTGACCGTTAGCCCTTGTCTTCCTCCCTCCGTGACCTGCGTCTGCTCCTCTTCTTCTTTTGCATCCACTTCCATTTATTCTCTTCTTCTACTTCATAACACAAGGTCTGAAAACCTGTTCAGTCTGATGACATTTCATTTGAAGTGAATTATGTGTCAATAAGAACTCTACTTTCAAGAATGTAGTTTTGATCTGTGATGCTCGGACTCTTCTTTTTGGTCGGCATACCCGTGTTGACACGATACGACACCGGTACGGGTATGAAATACGGGTCGGACGTGACAGATTTCAATCGAACACGTCCAGGGGCGGAGAAGAAGAAGAAGAAGAAGAAAGAGGAGGAGGAGGAGCCTACCTGAATCGCCATTTGCAGAGCCAGAATCGCCAGTCTCGTAGGGAAGATAAAGGAGCAGGATGAGGGGTGTTGGACTTGGCCCTTTTTTGTTTCAAGTTTTGGGCCATTTGGGCTTTAAAACATGTTTTTTTTTTTAAATTTATCAATTGTGATTGCAGTATATTTACGGTCTTACAGCCTTATTGGTTAGATTTATCTATCTTTTTCTTTGAATTTTATGGCCTTATTGGTTGAGCAAATTACACGATATTTATTATTTCTTAATTATGCTTTTAATTCTTTTGATCCAGATAAAATCATTTTAGTTTAAGAAAAATATCATGATTAATGTTGTTACAAAATTTTAAAAAAATTTAAAATATGATTTTTCTTTGACCAAAATGATTGACAGATAATTATAAAATCAACATACATAATTTTTTTTTCAGAACAATTTAATAGCATTTTTTGAAATTAATATTTTTTCAAACCTTGACAAAATAGAAATAATCAAATAATATATGTGATTAATTTTGCATATGAAGTTTTTGAAAAAAAAAAAAAATTAATTGAAGTTTCAAAAACGTACACATGTACTCGTGTCTGAAATTTGGACTCTTTTTAGCCATGTCCCCGTATTCTCCATTTTAAAAAATAAAAGACGCGACACCTAAAATACGCACCCGATACCTGTACCCGACTCCGAACAACTTAGGTTTTGATAACAGTATATAAACAGTTATTTGATTGGTTTCTTAAAAATTAGTGTGGATCCGAACGCCACTTAGTTAATGCTATCAAAGATGTAATATAACCCTTGTGCTCTATATCCATTATTTTCGACTTTGATTCCCCACAAGGACAGTAGGAGACAACGTCTAAATGTCTGTTTAGGTTAAATAAGTCAGGCATTTGTTCATCAACAGAGAAAAATTATAAGAAAAATTCACAGGACTGTTCTAGGATCTTTTAAGTGGACCAAAAGTTGGGCTGTTAAGAGAAATTTCCAATACTGGATTGTGATTGAAATAAGAATGTTGAGATTGGTCTGCTAAAAAACAAGGAAGTATTGAGTGAGAAATGAGCACGTTCATCAGTTTGTTGAAGTGGAAGTAATTGACAATAAATAGCACGGGGACTGATCGAAATTGTTTTGGCGTATTTAGTGCAAGCTGCTATAGACCGATTATAAAGGTGATTGGTTGAGTAACAATTGCAAACTTAAAGGAAGAGGTCGACTTAAAATCCCATAAAATAAGATAATTAAAAAGGTCTGAAACTTCCTCTCTAAAAGAAAAAAATAATAAAAATAAAAGATTGAATCCTTTTTACTTTATCTTTGGACATGGCTCTTGAAAGAGTGGAGTGGAGAAAGAAGCTTTGTGTACATGACCTCACATTGTACAGGGTAAGTCTGAGTTAAATTTTTGGTAATGGCAAATAATTGTAGCCCTTTTCACTCAGGTTGTTGACATTGAGGAAACCTGCACATAATATGCCTAAAAATCTTAGTTATATGGACTTTCACAAGTTAGTGTTACCACGACATTTTTTCTTTATTTCTATGGCGAGTAACAAGTCGCTTCCCCGTCCAAAAGCATTTTGTGTTTTCTTTATCTTCAGAAAACCTCACCCTACTTGAACACGATAAATTCTGTCACATTTCACCTTGTCCTTTTTTCTTCACATTTATTTAGGTTCAGTTGATTTAACCAAAAGTGTATAAGATCACGTTTGTCCTTATAGCTTCAACTATGTAATGGATATAAATGACTGATCGTGTATTATAAATGCTCTGGACATTTTGTTTACGGAAATTATCCTTAAATTTCTTTTTCAGGTTAGTGCAAACAATGGATTATTCTGTGATAGTATTTGATACAGCTCCAACTGGGCATACTCTCCGCCTGTTACAATTCCCTTCAACATTAGAGAAGGGGCTTGACAAAATGATGAGTTTGAAGAGTAAATTTGGTGGCTTGTTGAGTCAGGTTTTTTCCCTTACTTTCTTACATCTTTTTGTCTTATTTATTTTGGAGGGAGAGTGAGGTACATTTAAGATGTAAAGCAGGATATGATCAAAACTGTAGTCATTAGAAAGTTAAAATAGCAACATCTTTCCTCCTGTTGCTGGCTTGTAGATCTTTATGCTCAAGACATGATGTTTTGCTAAGAGTACATTATTGTTGTCGAGGAAACTTTAGTAGCTGTATATTTCCACATTTATGAAACTTTAAGAAAGGGGTTCTCTGTAGTTATAGCATCTTGCAAATTTAAAAATGGATTTTCTTCGTTTATTTTTTTCAGTAGACTTGATGATTTCATTTGTATGAGTATATTATATTTCTGATTACCTATGTGGTCACTGATCACTACTATTAGTGTTGATTTATTTGAAAGCCAGGTTGCTAAAATTAGGTCAACTATACCGCAACAGCATGTGCTTATTGTTATTCACTTTTAATTATATGAAGCGATAGTAAATTTTGTTGACTTCACCTCATATTGTGGTAAAATATGATTTGAACTACTTTACTGATCAAATCAATGGTTAGATGATTTCTCTCTCCCTCTGTTTTTTTTTGGTTTCTTTTGTTCTTTCTGTGAGATAAAGGATAGCCATTCAAATCTTTTGCCTAGAACTGCTAATTGGAATTGCTGTCTCTTTTCTTGAAATTAGACGATGACCATTCTGCAGACAATGTAACTGAGGCTGATTGTAATAGCCTTTTTTCTTCAATTCAACTATCATTTGTAGTCACTTGTTAATTTCATGTATGTCTGAACATTTCCCCAGTGAGCTCGTGGTTTTGAAGTTTCAGTTACTTCAGTAGGCATATTATGGATGCTTGCTATTATATTTGAAGATGATTTTGCTGTGTATTATTTACTTTTGAGCATCTATCTTCTCGTATATGTCTATCAGGTTTGTTTTTTAATGTAAATAAATATGTTCGGCAGATGACTCGTCTACTTGGTGGTGGTGATGAATTTGCTGAGGATGCAATGTTCGGAAAGCTTGAAGGCATGAAAGACGTGATTGAACAAGTGAACAAGCAGTTCAAGGATCCAGTGAGATATTTTCCTTTTTGCTTGAATACGCAATCCATAGTAATATTGCTGTGTAGAGATTAGTTGAAAGGCTGTCTAAACACACTCAAAATGCCCATAAACACTTCGTGTCTGAAGTAAGTTTAGGAATTGAAGAAAAAAACAAGATCGACAAATCTTTGATTATTTTGAATCTCGAAATTGGAAAAAAAAAAAAAAAAAAACTACAATGTGTTGTGAAATTCAATTAGAACATAATAAACTGGCCAAACACAAGTAAAAAATCATTGAAAGGAAAAAAAAAAAAAAAAACTACAATGTGTTGTGAAATTCAATTAGAACATAATAAACTGGCCAAACACAAGTAAAAAATCATTGATTTTTTCAAATACTGATTGGGATCTAAATTTGGGGGAATAATAATAATAAAAAAACTAAACTCAAATGTTTATAAAATTCAATCAAAAACATCTTATGCTGTGGAGCAAACTCTTCTATCGTCTTGCATTTCCTCTGGTGGGCCCCCCTTTCCATCGTACTTGAGCGATTTGAGAAGAACTATTAGGGTCATATTCTATCCTGTCTACAATATCCATAGACGATGTGCTTCATTTAAGATCAATTCTCTTCTTTCAGGATAAAAAAACTCCTCTTTTGTGTCTTTGTTTATTTTTTTTTCCCCCTTGAGCCACTATATGCAACTTCATTAAACATTTAGGAAATTTAAGCTTACTTTGTTAACTTTGAAAGTCTCATAAGAAAATAAAGGTGTGAATTCCATTTTCAGGAATTAAGGATGGTATTTCCTATGGGATGATTGATGGGGAAAGATAAACAAGAGGGAGGGAAAATTGTTGGGAGCATTGGATGTACATATGTTACTGAGATATAGGCGTGCAGGATGAAGTGATGTTTGATAGATATAATATATGCAGTGAGCAAAATCTTGTTCATGTACCTTATTTCAACCTTCCTGAACCTGAATGGAGTTTAGCTTGCCTGATCTGAATAATTTGTGTCCTTTTTAAGTTACGTTGTATTTTTAGGGTTGAGTATCATAAATTCCAGAAATGATAAGATGGCTCCTCCACTGTTCTTCTGTTTGTAAGTTTTACAGTTATTGAGTCTGATAATCAATTTCGTGTAATTAACTAAAGCACCTGCTAAAATGGGATCAATTAGTTAGAACAAAAGAATGGGCATTAGCAGAGAATTAAGAAGTGCATAAATTAAAAAAAAAAAAAAAATGTTGGGGTTTTGAGTTCTATGATCTTCTTTAACTGCCAACCCTAATTACGTGATAGCTAACGATTCCTTGTTTGATTAAAATCTGATCTTAAAGTACCCGAAGTTATGATGTTGAACCGTATTTTATGTTCTCCTATTTCTAAGGAAATAAACAAAAGAATGTTGCCTCGAAAGTTTTAGGCTCACATGAATTTTTTCATTTGGCTTTCTTCTGTCATGTATGGACATACATCAAATATGATGATAACTTGGACAGTGAATATAATTCTATGTATTTTTTCTTTTTCCCTAGAATACTGTGGTACTAGAGAGTTGCTGGTATTTTTGCCTTCTTTTCCCCTGAAGTTAATTTTAGTTACAGGATAATGCTGTCTGAAAGATCTTTATCAATATGGTCTTTGGCTTGGTCAATACCTTGCTAGCTATATGCTTAGAGAACCTATTACTTTTTCCATTTCTGATAATTGACATATGTACAGCATACCTTGCAAAATATCCTGATACATCAATTTTTCTACTTTTGGGCAGGATTTGACAACATTTGTCTGTGTTTGCATTCCGGAATTCCTCTCTCTATATGAAACTGAAAGACTTGTTCAGGAACTGACCAAATTTGAGATAGATACACATAATATCATTATTAATCAAGTAATTTTTGATGAAGAAGGTATGCCTATATTTTAGTTATAATGGTGCTTTTCTTTTACTATATAATATCTTTACTGAAACTATAGTTATTCTTTCAGCTGTGGTATCCAAATTGCTGAAATCTAGAATGCGCATGCAACAAAAATACTTGGATCAGTTCTACATGTTGTACGATGATTTTCACATAACTAAGTTGCCATTGCTGCCCCAAGAGGTATAGGATTCTTTTAATTGTATGTTTTGTAACCAGTACTGCCGGAACAGTATAGGACCGAACAGTATAAAGACAAGATTTTAGTTTCTTTTTCTTGTTTACCGCTATATATTACCATCGAATTCTACTCTGTACAAAAATTCCAAATCCTTGAATTCTCACACACGGGATGATTTCTAATTTATGTGTTGTTAGACTGCTAAACTGATAATATCTTCTAGGTTTGTGGGGTCGAATCCTTGAAAGCATTTTCACACAATTTCTTATCGCCATATCAACCATCCATTGTTCGAGGAACTATAGAGGAGCTGGAGCAGAGAATATCGATACTTAAAGAAGAGCTGAAGAATGCTGAAACAGAACTAGAGAGACTGGGAAAAGGAAAACAAAAGGTTTGATTCAGAAAAATTGACATGGAGTTCATTGACTCCTCTTGGGCATCTTGCTTTTCCGAAAAGTTTGACAGTATAATAGCACATTTTACACCCATTAGACTTTCAAGAGTTGTCATTATGAAATATATTTATTGCCAGGGAATAAATAATTGTTTCGTTATTTTTCCCTATGTGAGGATGATCAACGTGGGAGTTTTATCATTAAAGAGTGTTTCATAGCTTAATAACTAGTTTTCAATGTCACAGTCTCGATTAAAGATCACACAATGTATCATTTGTAGAACTTTATGCCATAGCAATTTATTTTACTCGGTTCAGCCTTTTAATTGTGTAATGTTTGAGCATATTTTCCTTTGTTAACTTAGCACCATAACTTACGGTATTAATATGAAACCAAGTCTCGTCCTCAATTAGATGCTGATTCTTGCATTCGTCTCGACTCTTGCGTGCAGCCTACCTAATTGAGTGGTTTTTGTAGTATGTTAACTTGTAATATCAATAATCATGCATGCAAACCTCACTTTTAGGTGGGTTTGTCACATCAGACTTGTGGGTATAAAGAATTTAGTATAAAATTATAATGAACATTATTAGACAGATGATATTAAAATGGATTAATGTGAATAGTAAGTCCTTGTTAGGTGGAGATTAAAGTTAGTTTTTTAGTAAATTTTGATAAAAGTTCATTGAATGCGTGATTGAAAAACTGCGGGATCAATGAAATATGTGATTGTTTAACTTTAACTTAGATTTAAATTTGATTTTAATCAATACCAAGTAGAGGCTAAATTATCTTCCCTATTCAGCTTAAAATCACTTCCAACCTCTGTATTATGTTATACGATTGATAATGTAAATGATTATTTTTTGAATGAAAAGTCAAAGAACACCGTCAATCCTTTTAATAGTTACTAATTATCAAAGTTTTATTAGCGGAGTAAGAGTTACTCATCGCTCATGATTCATTGTAAAAGTGGTTTTGTTTGTTTTTCAAAATGATTTATGATATTTTTACAAAAAAAAAAACTAAGAGCTTCGAAATGAACTTAAAAAAAAAAAAAAAGACAATACAAACTTATTTTGAATAGTACTTTGAAATAATTCAAGAATGCCAATTAGACTTAAAATTAGTAAGCAATACTTCTCGATAGGGACAAGAAAGGAACCATAGCTCAGCATTAGATCGTCGCCTCGGTTGATCACGAAGTCCATAATCGACTCCAATGAGGTGAAGGAAAGGGTCAAGTTAGGATTTCGGTTTTCATATTCAATTATTTGAGAACGTTAAAACTTAACATGAGTTGAGATGGCCGAGTTGGTCTAAGGCGCCAGATTAAGGTTCTGGTCCGAAAGGGCGTGGGTTCAAATCCCACTCTCAACAAGTACTTTTTTAATTTTTTATTTTTTTTGTGAATTATTATTGTTATTATTTGTATACAAATTTATACTTGGTTTTATTAATTCAGTCAAACTTATTTACTAATTTTAACAAGACAACCATTCTGCTTCGGCGTTCATTCAAAATCTCAGTATAATTTCCGTGGATATTTTGATTTTGTACTCTGCTCTGGCTTAGGGATCAAGATTTTTATAACCAGAAAAACTCAAGATTCTGTTTTACAGTGCAGATTCAATTTCTGCGTTCCATGGAGGCGTACAAGAGATGGGTTAGGAGGAATAGGGACTACGTGCACTCGCTTGAGTCTCTAGCTAATGTAAACCTGTTGGATACTAATATTTTTTTTTATATCAATTATACGTTATTTTACTTGTACTAGTGTTGTTCTTCAACTGGTTTTTGCTTATTCGAGTTAGTAATTGTTTAGTTTAGTTGATAAACTGTTTCGCATTTGAATTTTGCTTCTATGAGACAATATTAATCGGAGGGATCTTTAAGCACCTATGATTCTAAGATAATATCCTGCAATGGGACGAATTATTTCCATTTTATAAGCAATTTGAGCTCATAATTGCTGCCTTTTTATTTGATGAAAATTTGAAAATACTAGAGTTGTCTTCTCATGTGCATATGATGATATTGGTAGATGCTAGTTTCTGGTTTATAAATTCTGTAATGTGTGAACTATTCATTAGCTTAGCTGGTTTATGGGGGTAATACAGACCCAATATGGCCCTATTCTCCGTTGAGGTCAAATTGCCCCCATCTCTTCCGGTTCTGTCTAGGACTAAATAAGTACAGATGGGAGGTGCTTATAAAAGGAAAAAATATGCTTTAAATAAATAACATATATTTGTGGTTTACAAGTCATAACCTCATAATAATGCTTGCATGCTATTCTTCTCCCCCTGGGTAGATCATAACTCTTTCAAATTTCATAATAAGGTCGATCTAATTTCTGTGGCCTTTTTTACTTTCTGTATAGTCCGGATATTCATTTAACTCATTCTATGGCCTAACTTTTTAGTGAGGCCTTGGAGTGCAGAAGTCTGATTGTATTTCACAAGAAGTTACCATGTATTTTACTGAAGTCAATCCAATGTTTAGCTTTTTCTTGTATATACATTTTGCTATGTCATAAACAAACCTGACTGGCAGAATATTTATAGATATACTCCCAATCCTTGTTCCATATTTTTTACTATTTTCACTCTCTTCCATTTTTATCTGAGATTCAAAGCAGGGCAGATAGAGATGTTAGACATCTGGTCCATTTTGATGATCTTTAACCTTTTGCATTCTTTATATAACCAGGGTGTTCTATTCTGCTGGCATTTTTTGATACTTTTTCACATCATTCACTTTGAGTGGAAATGTTTGAGTACGTTGATATTAAGCTGCTTCGGATTTCAGAACTTCACCTGTATCTGATTGTTGAAAAAATATTTTCAGGGTTTGACATGGCTTCTCCCAGAACGATTTTCTGAATCAGAAATTGGACCAGAAGCAGGTTTTGTGATATTTTGGTAACACTAACTTCTTCTTACTTAGAATCATGCAATGAACCCACTTTCTTTGGCTCAATGAAAAATGGATTTCATGACACAATTTTTTGTGTCATTATTTTATTTCATTTGGGAAAAAAATCCTATAATTGAATTAAGTAGATTGTTTTCATCAGGAACACAATATTTATACAATACGGAACTTTTGTGGTACATGTAATTCTGTGAAGATTATACAATTTGGTGCTACATCATTGTGGGCTCCTGTTTTCATAATTTCATGTGCTTCAGTGTGCATGTTAGGATTTCTATATCTCAAGTGTCTGTATGTAAATTATGTTTATTTTTACTCTCCCCCAACCCCACCCACCCTTTCCCCTTAAAATTCCTTTTTATGCTATATAAGTTCTGCCATATTATCTGGAAACCTAACATTCTTCATACAATGCACTGTAGTTCTTCTCCAATTACGAATTATATTGTGTGTCCAAATCAATGTTTTCTATTATTGTATATTTATGTATTTCTGCAGTAACATCAATTTTGGGTATAATCATTGCTTCCATCTAACGTTTCTTAAGAACCTTTTCCTCCACCCCCTTCTTCGGACTTCTTCCAGGCACAGGAGTGACTCGTAGTCCTGATGTCTTGTATTTTCACCTTGTCTGTCGTTTCAGGATGCGATAAAAAAGCTTTTAAGATTCGTTAATTTTCTTAAGCTGTCTCTGCAATTTTTTCATTTATTTCTTGTAAGAGTTGATGTATTCTATCCTATATATTGTAAATCTTTCTGCAGTAACATCAATTGTGGGTATCATCACTTCTGTCAATGATCATATAATCGAGACGACACCAATCCATGTGCACATGGGGCACGTCCCCCAGCCTTCCTTCCCATTGTCATTGTTCATAACTTTGCTAAAGGACTTGGAAACACTGGTTGAAGTTGCATCACAGCAATTCTATGGTGATGAAAAGAAATGGAATTTCATTGCTATAACAGAAGCTACCAAGTAAGGAGCTTAAATTATTAGAATAGGCTCTTCTTGCAGCACCTTCAGTCGTTCTATGGCTAGCAATATTTGTTATTATTAATAAGATTTTTTTTCAATCAATTTCAGGGTATTACTTAGGCTAGCATTGTTTAGAAACAGTGGATATAAAATGCTCTTGCATGGTGGGGAGAATACAAATGACGGGGAGGATTCGGATGCACTAGATTCACAGGATAGAAATGGACTTTTGCCAAAGCCTGGGCAGCATCAGGTTCCTGGTAATCTAAAGAATTATCGAAGACAGAATCCATTGAATCTGGAAGGAAGGGCATTATCTGCCTTAAATAGTTTCGGTGAAAGTGCAAGGACAGTTTCTGAGCCAACATGGTTATCTAGAGTTCAGCATCAGCAGGCAATAATGGAGCCTTCAAGTAAATTTTTTCTTTTTTCGTTTTATCAGTGCTTTGGAGAGACATTATTCAATCAATTTGAGACTTGTTTGTTGAAATATATCTTCATTTCCTTACAGCAACAGTGGCCGAGAAACCTAGCCTTTCCTCTATCTTGTCTGAGAAGGGCGTTCCTGGGGGCTTATTTTTGGTAGGAGAGATGATGTTTATCTTAAGACCATTCATTTATGTATTACTAATAAGAAAGTATGGGCCTCGGTCATGGTTTCCTTGGTTTACTTCATTGACTGTGGACCTCATTTCCAATGGCATTATTTCATACATCACAATTTTGAGGCAAAATAGCAACGATTTTCATCTTTCCAACCTCGAGAAGCATGAGGTTAGAATTTTTTGAATTGTATATATTATGTATCTTGTATTGTCCATAATCTCTATATATGCCCAAAACTGTCCTTGATTGTTATGCCTTGTAAAGAACTATGTTTGTTTGTTCCTTTTTTTTTTTTTTTTGAGAATTTGATCTATTGCTGAAATGGGTTGGGTACGGTGCAGTTAAAAAGGCGAAAGCTCTTGTTGGCACTTTACCTTATGAGAGATCCATGTTTTTCAAAGTATACCAGGTAATACAGCATTTCTCATGGTACTACATTTCTTCTTTTTCACTTCCTTCTCTATGATTTCGTGTATGGAAGAGAATAGAGTGCTAACGCTCATTAAAATTTTCAGGCAGAGACTTGATAGTACTCAAAAGCTACTAGAACCGGTTCCCGTTGTCGGGCTTCTTACTGGTAGGTTCAATGTTGTATACTACGTGCACTGCACTGTTTTTACTTGTTTGAACTCAAAAGCTTTCTTGATATGTGCAGAGAAACTCGTTGAACTTATTACTGGAGCCCAGACGCGATACACCTACATGTCCGGTTCATGAGCTGGAGTTTTGCACTCAATTTATTGGTGAATTTGGGCATAAAGAATTGAACATTGCAACATTTTGGTTTTCTGACAACAATTTAGTACTTGCACGGGATAATGTTGCTTGCCGTGACTTTGCCCTCCAACTATAAACACACGGTGGATGCAAACATGACCTAAAGTCGAAAGGAGCTGCAGTTATTTGACTAATGACCACACAGACTTTATATTATTGATTCTTCGATTGACATGATTATCTGAGAGTAGAATGTAAGTTTTGGTAGGCATCCTGAGCCAATCTCTGAATGCAACAGAAATTTACTAAGTCGAAGTCGAATCTATAAATTTAAAGATTTCTTTCTTGCACCTGGAAGTGACACCGGGTAAAGCATTGGCACTTGTAAATAAAAGGTCAGCTAACTAATGAAACCATGGTACCAAAACCTATGACATAGTTCTCCTGAATTGTTATTCCAGAGAAACAAAATTATTATTACTGCGAGAAAGGGGCTGTACTTGCGAATTCTTGATTCTGAAGAATTTAGGAGGTGAGCACGAATAAACCTGTGTATACTTTCTACTACGTGCCATGGCTCGCCCCAGTCGAAGAAGAATAATGTATTGGTGCTCTTACAATGAACTGGCATCAACCTTTGTTTAAAAGACTGATGACATTATGCCAACGACGTTATATTACTGTGCCCCATCCAAAGCTGTCTGAGTTCTACATCCTGGCAAATGGCAGTGATTTATTGTCACTGTTAGCGCTAGAGAGAGTCTGGGTGAAGAAAAGCTTCTGTTGGCCAGCTCGAAAGGTTAGCTAGTGTAAAGTGGCTGAAATTGCTTCTCTCAAGAATTTGCCTGGAAGAATCATACTTCTCATCGGTTTTCTCAAAATTATCCCAAGTTGGTGCAGCGGAGAACTATGATGGTGTTATATCTAAAGTCAATCATTTTCAGTGCTGAAGGGTCTAAGAAGGATATTTCAGGAGATGTGGTGGATATGCTGGCATCCTCTGGACTTAATTAGTTGCTTATAAGCTTGATTAGAGAACTCGAGCCTCCAGCAATATTGAAGATGAGACCAACTGAGAACCACATCATCTACCGACACCAAGTGTTGCCCTTATAAAGGTTTCCGGAGAGATGTTGTGGCCATTGTTGGAAATTGTGCTTGCTGTAGGAAGCACATTCAGGACAAAATAAGAGAGCAGAATGGGATCCTTCTGTTTTTACAACAGTGTGTCATTGATGAAGATACTCCATTCTCGAAGGAGAGGGTAATCTGGTCAGAAATATGTTGGAAAGGAATAGAGAAAACCAACGAGCTGTTGCAAGTTTGGAGCTTCAAGGATCTGTAGATGTGCCTGAAATTGCACAACTAGTTCTTCGAGTAGAAGTGGATCCACAGACTCGATGTGTAAAGCATGTAATTGTCTCATGGAGTTACTCAAGTAAACATCGTCTTCCAGCTGAACCAGATTGTCATCATTGGTATTCATAGATTATTACCATTGGCACTTGGATGTGTACTCGATATGCTTGCTTTAACCTCAATGTGATTGACACCAAATTATGGAGAAAAACAGCAATAGACACGAGAGTTTTAAACCTGCAAAATTGTCTGCTTTCCCAGGATGAATCCAGACTCTCATCTTTCATGAGACTGCTGATTCTGTTTCAAGAAAGGATTAAAACATCTCAAGATGTTTCATAGATTGGAGTCATCAGACGAGGTGTAAGACATTCTATTATTCTAAACAAATTGACAAAAAGCAGACGAGTGACAAAACCAAAATCCTTCTATAACTCTAATCTTCATTACTATGCTAATTACAACTGTCTGATGATTCAATAAAAGTTGGACTGTGAGGTTATTGATAAGTGTAATTTATACACTTATTCGGGGTCTAAAATATCGATATTTGATAATTCTTTTGATAAAATATATTTTATATTGTTGTGTTTTATGTTATATATGTAAAACTCAATGAGGAATTGGAAGAAACAAATGAAAAATCAAGGAAAAAAGGCAAAGTCCAAAGTTTGAGAATTAAATTGTAAATATTCAATAGCTTATTCGGATCACAAGACAATACTTTGAAAATTGTTAGGAGACAATTGAATGAAATTATAACTCAGAAAGAAATGGAATATGATCAAAATATTATAAAAATTAATTTTCAATCGCACAAATTATATTTCAGATTTTTAGCCGAATATTGAGAACCATTTTTGGCATAGTAAACGTCCGAATTGGAAAAATTATACTTCTAGAAAAGTTGTTTCCATTTGAGTTAGTTTTTCAACGCATTTTGATATTGGGAGAGAAAGTTGTGACCAAAATACTGACTACTGTGCAGAGATAAAAAAAAAAAAAAATCCAACGCGAAGACAACTTTCCTTATTCAATTGGAACTCTTTTGGAAACCAATGTAGAAGTGATTTCATCCAATTTTCTACTCCTACAAATACCTAATAGTAGAATACATATTAGAGACCTCTCATATACAGATTATACTTCAATAGTCATCAATTATTATCATCAACGGAGGAAAATTCATAATTTTTGTGAGAGAATTGAAGGGGATTTGCGAGAATTCAACCAAGTGAAGATTTAAACTTTTTTTAGGCAAAGAAGAGAATGCGCAAGTGTATATTCATCAAGAACCCGTTGAAGAGATTTAATATTCATCTTTATTTTCTCAATTTATAAAAAATCCTAGTTATGTCTTTCCACTTAAATATGATTTCTTATAATTTCGATATGTTAAGCTAATTTTATACATTGTTAGGATGAGATAAACCGTTGTTATGATATTTTTAGTTTTTAATTAATTATTTTTGACTTTAATTTGGTTTGATTTGTTGATGTTTATTATTGTTTTTATCGTTCTTTGCAATTTCTTGATCACCAATTGAATTATTAATGAATTTTATTGCTATCAAGAGAGACAATATGATTTAAACACAATATGATAAATATTGTAAGATTCAATAGAGGATAGAGATATACATCCATACTTTATATGATTTCAATAGGTGTTATAACACCCAATACATTTATCATATTTGTATCTTTCATCGAGAGATAGAAGAGTTACGTGAAGGGAATATATTTGATCGCTATCGAGATAGACTTTCAATTAAATTAGGAATATTGACCAACACGAATGATTTCAAATTATCACTTTAATTGGTACATTAAAAATGAAATAATAAGGGGGATTCGACATTTTAGCAATACTAACGTATTTGAAAACACATTTACTTATTTTCATTAGTTTAATTGATAATTTATGAATTAGTATAGAAAAATCACAAAATTTGTTTGTTATTCGATTAAAGGTGTAATTAATTTTAATTTGATCAACACATAATCCTCGCGGGTTCGACACTCTACTCATCATTTTATTACTTGACCACGATCTCATGCACTTGCGGGTTTTCAAAGAATCGGTTATAATGTACATCAAGTAAGAAAATAAAGTTCACATTACAATTTCTATTGAAGTGACCGATCACTTCTCTCTTCACGACAAAAAAACTATAGCCCCGAGAAGGAAATACCTTCTTCAAAATTGATTCCCAGTATCATACGGATATAATGCTTGACGTGCTCCATGACTCGGATATTAGAGAATTTAGATCGTCAAGTTTTCTTGAATGGCAATGAATGAGCCAACTATACTTCCTCCAACATCAGGGAAAGTCTCACATCCATTGAGGGGGTTCACTTTGCCCTTCCTATCAACTTCAACTGGATACTTCAGAAGGTGTCCTCTCATTTCCGATATCTCATTAGATTTAAATTGCTTCCAGTTTGCCTCACCCATTGATCTGACCTTTCGGACACATTCTACAGACTCTGGCCGAGTATAAAAGTCCTCTAAAACTCCAAGATGCTCAGCCCAAAGAGACATTCTATATCCATATATCTACAGATATTCATTTCCAGATACAGTCAGAGGTTCAGATGGTGAAATTCAGTGAAAAAAAAATGGAGGAGCATTTATATGGACTTCTTCAATGGAAGTCAAATCATTTGCTTTATGAAAAAAGCATTTCAATTTTTCATGTTCTGAGACATGGTCGGCCACATAGGATGAAGTATCTAGGATTCAATTCTCTGTCATTCTTGTTTCCCACAAGGTTAAAGTTGAGAATTGAAGATCCTAAAAGTTTGGATAGCCTATTTTTTGAGAAAAGGAAATATACCCAGCTTCCTCTTATTATGGCCTACATATTTAGTGACAAGCCAGTATTCTGAACTTCTCTCTGTTACTAGGAGGATTAGTGTCTTATGTTAAAATGTTTCAGTTCATGGAAAGCATTTGGAGATCTCAGTTTATATGCCTTAGTTGATCTGCTTAACCTACTGATATTTAAGATTAAGCAGCACCATTTTTGAAACACACTTTATGTTACCTGTCCGCGTGGACTCGATAGTTTTCTTGCCCATGTGTGATGAGGTTGATAGGCTCCCATAGCAATCTCAGTGTCCCTAGTACCCTCCAAGGACCGTTGATTGATATTTGCAGACCCCAATATGACATACTCATCATCTACTATCATTCCTTTTGAATGGACATATATCATGAATCTTCTGTTTTTCCGACTGAGTCCCTGAAACAAAAAAGTTATAGAAACTTGCGTATATATTGACACCAAAATTCTCAAATAATAAAATACCTCGAAAGCAAGCAAATTTAGAGGCCAAAATAAGCACCCATATTTACAATTTGTATTGGACAACATAAAAATATAACTTATCTGGATAATGTCTCATACATAGTTTGTTCTGTTCTAACCAAAATTATAGAACAAACAAAAGTTTTTCTGAGACTACAAGATTGAAGAATAATCAGGATTCTTAATAAGGTATATGCCAATATATATCACCCAGAAAGCATTATACCTGAGGACTGTTTGCTGCATTGTGACTCTCAGTTGGTTTACCGACATCAAGAGCCTCACGATTGCCAAGACAGTAGAAGTTCAAATAATCTTGTGGTGAGTACGCATCCTCAAGTCCTACCTCTACCAAAGCCTTGTAAATAGTCTCGTACATCATTTGCATTGTTTTATTCTAGAATATCGGCCAAAAAATAAAAAATTGTGTTAATAAAACCTACTGATGAGATAACTTAGAGTGATATGCTTGTTATAAGATAATTGTTTTCTATTATATCAGTAGTAAATTCAATCAAAAAATAAATTGCAATCACTCTAGAAGTCCAAAGAAGCTTTGATCGTATGTTTTAAAGCATGTTCTAGTATGTGATGGAAAATGAATGGATGATGTAACTTTGAAATTTATTGAATGCATCAAGCAACTAGAGCACACCTGCCAAAACAAAATTCTTTGTGTAGCAGCACCCGTTGGATTACCCTCTGGCCACATTGGAATGACAATATATGCTGCAAACCTCTCATGTGCTCTTATTTTGTCAGCGATTTTGAGGGCAATTTCCATTGGAATCAAATTATTAGCACCTGCAGAAAATAGATTTTTTTTTCACGTTTGCACATGGGAGGTCATCTAGAGAATATGCCAACACAAGTCACCATCTTTAGATGGGCAGTTAAATTGTCACCATAGATGACTAAATCATCAAAACCCAGGAAGAGTTAGGTCCACGAGATAAAAAGTCCACAAATGGGATTACAAAATAGATTAACCGTGGCAGGCCAGGTATAATAGGTCATACATGCTTCAACAATGAAACAGTCGGACATGTAGTAAAATAAACAACTTGCTAGCTTCGGATATTATTAATTAAAATACAACATGTGAAAACTGTTCCTTACCAACATCCTTATATTGACTCCAGTTGTATGAGGACCCAATGAAGTACTGATTTTCAATATAAATGAAATGTTGAGCAGCACGGATGGCCTTTACATATGCTGTATGTATGCTCATATCTATAAGTACATTCTTCCCACAAACCAGGTTCTGTTGCATAAAAACAAGATTAATTTTTAGAGAGGCATTTGTAAACCAATAAATTTCAGAGTAAAGAGTGTTACTTAAATTAGCTCACCCTTAATGTAGCCCCTTTAGGATCCTTCGGGAAGTCTTTGACAGAATTTGAATCTATTGAACGAAACACCTGCACAAAAGAATAGTACAAACAATTAGCACATTGTCCGTCCAATGCAACTTTGCAATCCCAACAATTCCATGATAGTCATATTTCAAAATCACGTATGATTGTTTCCCTATAAATTTGGTTGCATAAATAGTGTAGAACCTTTCCTTTTGTAGTTTCTCATAAATTGGGTCTTCCTCTCCGTAATTATGAGAGAAAACAATTATACTAGTTACATAATTTAGTTCAGTCTTTGTTTCACGTTCTGTTTATAGTTTCTAATGCTTTGCAATTCAAACAACTCCTTGGCACTAGTTTACCTGAACATGCCAACCTTCAGGATCATCATCATTTACACAAGGAGCATCGGAAATTCCTAGTATTTCGGGTATTCTTTCTATTCGGAGCAAAGCGTCATCATATGACATCTTCAATTTTTTTATCCCGTGGGGCTTTGAAGCCTTCAACCACCGTTCCTCGAAATTGGTCAGAACGTCATATGCTGCTGGGCCATTGATTTTACAGTGCAAGTCATGCCATGGTTCTCTTGGACAACCAGAAACATTACCCTGTAAGGAACAAAATTGTAATTTAAAAACATTGAACTATTGTACAAAATGATGTGCACAAGGACCAAATTGAGTAAGAAAAATAATTACCGTATAAGTAGGGTTGTGATAGTCATCAGAGTGCCAAGTATGCAGTGTCCTAAATAGAGAATGCTGAGGAGTATCATATCGCCCATCACACAAGTCTAGCCCTCCAAGAAATGAAATGATTTTTCTTCTATTATTTCCAGCGTCAGTATCCACTATCACAGTTTTCTGATGGTGGGTGTAAATGACTTCAACTTCCTAATCATTAAAAAATTAGACATTAATACAACTAAAGATTCATTTTCACATTCAGAAACTGTATGTAGATAACACGTAAAAGATCGGAACTATGAAATGGGGATTTCAGGAATATTTTCTATACATGATGTGCTACTCCATATACGGTTAATGTACTATGAAATGCAATAATAACCATAATAAAAAAACATTGGGAAATGTATGTATAACCAAAAAAATTCTAAACGAGAAATTGATTGGAAAAGACTTAGGAAATAACTGCAAAACCAGATAATCACCGATCAAAACTCAGAAGGTAGTTTCTATCCCAAAAAAATGTTCTTCTGAGCTCATGAAGTATTTGCACGTATATACAATTCATCACCCCATTTTTGCCTCAACTCTATAGGTGCATCCTAATCAATTGTAATGTTGCAATTTGGAATTGTTTATGCATTTTAGTAGAAGATTTCTGTTAGATATGGGATGAGAAATTACAATAATATGACACTTCTATAAGGGACATAGAACTCAACATCCACCGGAGAAAATAGACAAGACACCCAAGACTTGACATGTGCCAATGATAGATACCAACTAGGTGCCAGACCGATCATCAAGGTTAAATGTGACTTGAATAGTACTTGTAAAATATTTAACAAAATCCCAGCAGCATCTCCCCCCGTAATATGGACTAAACTAACCTGAAATAAAACACAAAATGCCCAAACAAAATGTATGAAAAAGATAGGGGACCACCTGTCCCCTCCAATACTCATAAGTACTCAATAAAATAAAGTTAAACCGAAAGTTTCCAATTTCTCTTACCAAAATAGCCCAAAAAATACATAAATTTACATAAGATGCAGCGAGCCCATCTGACTATATACATGTGATCATCCCAAAATAATGAACAGTTAACATACCCTCTGCTTCATCCAGCTGTGGCGCTTCCCAGCAGCTCGAGGACAAAGCAGCACTTGCACAGAAGAATGTTTGAAGAAACGACGAGTTTCTTCATCATGAGTTTGCATGACTCCATCCTGCATATAAGTATTAATAAGAATTTCATTTTGAAAACTGAAAAATGAACACAGTGAAGAACAAACATTTTCAATCACATAATAACAAAGACTCTAGGATCTATAGACACATTCAAGGTAAGTAAGCCTCTAAATTCCCATAAAAACTATGAACGAAAATCATAACTGAACGGCAAATGGAGACTATATATTCTAAAAAAAGGATGCTGTTAATTCGTAAGTTTAAAAGGTTCTTTCTTTATTTTCTTTCCTTTTTCTCTTTTAATAAATAGCCATGGAAGGTTTTAATTTAATGGTTAACTAAATCAAATTCGATTGGACAAGCACCAGAAAACTAAACTTGTCTTCAGGACCATTTGACTACAAAAGAAATATGTCCTAAAGCATTTCTATACTTGCTCCAATGGGTATCCCTGTGTTGCCCAGAGACATTTGTATCTTAAATAGCAAATATGACCTCAATCTCTTGGATATATGTAGACAAACATAAAAAATATATAAAGATTCTGATCAATCCCTATTAATCCCCAGGCATGCATCTTGATAATATAGAAATTCACTCATTTACTACAAGATAAATGCTTACTGTTTTGCACCCAAGTATGCTTCTTGACGTAGGATCATCCCATACCAGAAGCAGCACCCTCACTCCTTCCTGTGACTTTGACTTCAGAAGTTCTCCCAGAGTGCAACCTGACACAGAATTATCGTCCCTAACTAGTCTAACGTTGTGCCACACTGACCATCCAGCAATATAAATCAAAAATCGAGCTTGACATATTGCATTAAAGATTTCCCGCCAGCATTTCCCGTGCACATATTTCATCCCATTATCAAGCTTCAAATTTGGGAGGAATCCATCAGGTACGTGAGCATCCTGATAGAGGGTGACAATTCCGCCTCTCCTAAGCGGAAAATACGTCCCAGGAACTCCGTTATAATCAGGACCGGCTCCAATTCCATGGTGGTAAATGCTCAATTGCTCCATTGGAGTATAACAAATTGAGAGACTCAAAACAGCTCCAGACTTGCAAGGTTTCCCATTATGACCAAGGACTGGAAAGAACCCTGTAATTTTTGTGCCTCCATATAAATGCTCCACCGGAATAGAGACTGTCCCTATAAACTGTGATCCCACGACATCGTCATCCTTCACAACAAAGAGCACTTCAGCGGCGGAATGAGCAACAGGAAGATTGAAATGTTGCTTCCAAACAGGATTTTCATTATTTGTTATCACGTAAGTCCTTCCAATCGTAGCACCTGCTACTGTGATGGAGACGTAAGGATCACTTGTAATCTTACAGTTTATTTGCCCTTCAATCTTGCTGCTCATATTCCCTGGTAATCTGTTAAACATGTCCCCAATAGTTTTGTGAAACATATCCATGTTTGGAAGGTTTTTTGCTTCATAGACCCAAATATCTAAATTCCCATGCAAGAGCAAAACTTTCAAAGACACTTTATGAGATGGAACAAGCATAACCTGCATATTCTGACTGTGGGATGAATCAGCATTTGAGGTCAAATGCGGCAAAATAGGATGAGAAGGGGACTCTGCCCAGCCCATAGAAGATGTCTCCCAACTTGAAAAGGAGGTATTAGGATGTCCATACGTAGTCCCGGTCCCATTATGCATTTTAGCTGGTAGTCCAGATTGAGGGGAAATAGGCACTGATAAGGATGAAGGGGAGGCAGGGGCAGAAGCCATATGGTGACTATCAGATAAGTGCACATTTGCCATGAGATTGTCGATGGGTGGGTAAAGTGGAGGGTAACCAGGGCAACTATCATCAAGACAGTCATAATTCACTGTAGAACCACCCACAGACGATGAACTATCTTGGTAATGATGGTGGATAGAGTATTCACTGCTAATACTAAGTCTAGGTGGAGTCTCGGACTGGTTATCCGGAGGCTGGAATTCTCCAGAATACTGATGGTGGTGGTAATGGGATGAACCATATTGGAAACTACCAAATGTTTGGATGGTAGACTGAGGCCAGGCAGATGTTGGAGGAGGAGCTGGATATCTGTGGTATGGATAATGAGGCGGGCCAGAATAAGATGGTGGGGGGTAACTGTACTCTAATGGCCCCGACTGAGGGGGTGATGGTGGTGGACCTGGATATGGATAACTTGGAGTGACAGAATGAGAATTGTTGTAAGGTGGTGGATAATGGGAATGTTGTGGATATGGATATGGACCTGGAGCTGGAGAAGTAGGGAATGGAGCAGAATTGTGAGGTGGATATGGTTGATTTGAAGGTGGTGGCACATGAGGGTAGCCATATCCGAGGTTATATGGGTATGATGATGGAGATGAATGGTAATTATTGTTATCCATTAATATACACAACTATTTCTTAACTTCTGATTCTTTTCAATATACACTCAAATCTCTATTTGATCAAACGACCTCAAAAGAATGAAAAAGGAACCAACCTTCTTGACGCCAGAAAAGGTCCTTTACTCAATCCATTAGACAAGTAATGAACAGGCAATTCTAATACAGGCAAAGGTAGAAGTCAAGACAAGAAAGCATCTTCTTCTTCCTCTTTTTTTTTTTCAATAGAAGGCAATACAGAAAGATTAAATGGGGGGCTTTTGTTAATTTTTCGGATTATTGATTACCTCTTGAGCTTGGATTCATATTGAATTCAGAAAGTGGGATTGAAATAAAAAGTACCTTAATAATGTGAATGCTCTATAATAAATTCTGCGAAATTCTAAGCCCAAAAGAAGAAAATCAAGATTATGAACAGACAGACAGTTCTGCGATCATTCTATAAGTAACGCGTATTGACGATTTCCTTCCCTTTGTAGAACTTTCGATGAAGATGAGAAATTAGATACCGGGTGAATCCCGGTTTCCAGAATGCCATGGTGCAATGCTTCGGAGATGCTTAGGTTGGACAGATTAGGAGGTTAGGGATTTGATGTACGTGGAGCTCTCTAATTGGCTGCTATCAAAGCCCTGTTTGATTTGAATTAAAATATTATTAAAATTTCAAGTCAAAGTTAATCATTAATTTTAATCAAACGGAAATTCACAACTTTTCAACAATACATTTCATGAACTTTTATCAAAATTTATTAAAAATCTGATTTCAATCTCTACCAAACGGGACATAATAGAGAGAGCGCATCATTAGTTGGATTTGGGACGAAATTTTTGATGTTATAGTCAAAGTACATTTATGGAAACTTAGCAATTTTTAAGGGTCAACTTTTGGAAATGTACCAAATAAGTTGGGTGGGTGATTCCGGTCCTAATTTTAACCCATTTACCACTCAAGTTGAAGAGCATTTGTTGAAATTGTATAAGAAATAGTTTCGAAAAATAACAAAAGCGTAAAGTGTTCAAATATCTTTTTCAGAATAATGATTGAAGTTTCAAATAGTAGAATGTTGCTTTTCAAATAAGTAAATGGTTTGTGATGAAAGTGTTGAGAGAGAGAAATCTATTGCTGACTTCTCTATCCCATTTTCTGTTATTTGTCGCATATCCGTTGAACTAATTCTGGCCTTCGAACACTTAAATTTCTCTAATGGACAGCCCACAACCCTCGAAAAAATTACTCTTAAGAGCTTTTCAAATTTTACTGATATTTTGTTTATCATAAAATATTTCCTTTTTTTACACTGTAATCATGGCTGACAAATCATGGCTTGAAAATTGAAGTTCAATGACTAGATTTTTGAAAATCCAGAAAATCGCTTAGATATGTAATGTAACATTAGCACATTTTCCTGAAGTACATAAATCTTACTTTAATCTTGAACCATGCATTAAATTCTGAAAATGGGATTAGTTTGAAATGATTTTCTTATACAAAGACAGACTATTGCCAGGTGACTGCAATAGGACTCCTAACTGAATATTTTTGGGAAATCCATACTAAAGAGCCAAATGAGAAATTAGATGAAACAGCACTTCTGCCTGTTGAAATCAAACTCACTTTGTAGCTCAACTTTTCGCCGATTTCCTGAAACTTCATGACTTCTGGCTCAACAATGATGTTCACCCCTTTAGGCTCTGTTACATGTACAACATAAGTACTTGCAGGAGTCCCAACATTTGTGACTGTTCTCTTGTATGCTGCTGTAACATTTTGAGCATTCGTTTTGAAAACGACTGCAAATGACGGGTAGTTTAAGTCACCAGGTTGAAGATCAGCAGAGTCTGGACAAGTGAAATTCTCCCCGGCAAATAGGGCTATTTGTGTTGAATTGTAGTTTAGGCTACACAAATAATTTAGGTAACCATCTGTCGAAATGTCATAGATTAGGCCGGGATCAGAAGCAGTCTCTGGATCAACATGGCCGGAACCAAATGCAAAAGGGGTAGCTGATGTTGAGTTTACAGAAGCAGCATCTGATATTGGAGCATTTTCGGAGTCATGAACATAAGCAGTAGTCATTAAGGCTGATTTTATGGCTGCCGGTGACCAATCCTTGTGAACAGACTTCAATAGTGCAGCTAGGCCACTAACATGGGGACAAGACATAGAAGTGCCAGAAATTATGTTAAATTGGACTCTTCTTTTGTCACTTTTGAGCTGTGTTGGACTAATATTTGGTGGCCATGCGGCTAAAATGTTCACTCCTGGTGCAGTTATGTCTGGCTTGATTATGCTAGGTTCAACTACACTTGGACCCCGGGACGAAAATGCAGCCATAACCGGCGCAGGATTTCCATATGCCGTCCCTATAAACTCAATTGAAGCTGTCGCATTGTTTCTGAAGCTCGCGTAGTTTTTGCTGGCATTGGCTGCTAAAGCACCAAGGGATGTGGCTGGCAAGATGTATGGATCAGCAATAAGTTCATCTCCTTGATCGTCAGTGTTTGCCAATATCTTGCCAGCTCCACCTGCCATTTTCACTGTCTCTCCCTTTTGGAATCTGCCATTGATTCCTTGATCACAAATAACGATTTTACCTTGAACAAATCTTCGAGAGAGTGAGCCGCTGATGCAAAACTTGGCAACTCCACCACCGGCGGTTTCTCCATACACCAAAGGCAATTGCTTGGTAGCCTTGCCAGAATACAATGATGCCCCTGTGAAAACTTGTCCATTACCAAGTTTAACTTGAGTTGGAAAACTACGGTCAAGATAACTAGCAGCAACCGTCATAATCCATGGCGCCACATTGGCAACCGTGGAATCAGAAGGCCCTGAATTGCCTGCTGAGCATGAAACAAAAACTCCATTTTGTATTGCACCAAATGAAGCAATGGCTATATTATCCTTGTAATATGGTTTTGAGGCGCCTCCCAGAGAAAGTGACAGCACGTCCACCCCATCCTCGACTGCTTGTTCGATGGAAGCTAATAAATCCGAGCTGGCGCATCCTAATAGATAGCAAGCTTTATAAGCTGCAATTCTTGCTGTGTACCTCATGCCTGCAGCTGAGCCTTTGGCCAACCCTAAAGTGTTTGCACCCTTGACAAGATTACCTCCTGCAGTCGAAGACGTATGTGTTCCATGCCCATCTGAGTCACGAGGTGATCTGTAATCTAATGTTTCATTAATTGTTCCAGCAATGGCCTCATACCCTTTGAAAAATGCTCTTGCACCTATAAGCTTTCTGTTACAGTTTGAAGCTCTAAATTTTGTGCCTGCCTGACATTTTCCTTTCCAACGAGGGGGAACAGGCGACATGCCCGAGCTACGAAAACTAATGTGCTCAGGCCATATTCCCGTGTCAACAACGCCAATTATTATATCAGAAGCTAAATTTTGAGCATTCCAGAGGCCACTACCCTGTTTAAGGCCAAGAAACTGAGGCGAATGTGTTGTATGAAGCTCTAGCATTTCATCCGAGGTGGCAGAGAGAAAGCCATCCATTTTCCTCAAGGATTCAAGTTGTTGCTTTGAGAGCTTGGCAGCAAAACCAGAAAAGACAGTTTCATACACGTAAAGTAGTTCAGGAGACGATGTTTGTGGGCCTTGCTCTACTTCGTCATGAGCTGATGATTCAGTGAGAGATTCGATGATAGCTTTGTACCATCTTTTGGAAGTGCCAAGAGAGGCATCTAAAGCTTTGATCTTGGTCTTGTCCATGTGTACCACATACGTTTCTCTTTCTGCTACCACATATGCACTCAAAGCTTTGAGAACCAGCAATACCAGGAGCCCCCTTAATATCATTGTTGTTCCTGGAAAGAATTGAAAACTAGGTCAGTGGAAGAGAAAGTCAAACAGATTATGCAATGATATGCTCCATTGCAAGTTTCTGAGACAATGGAGAGTAGAAATTTTAAGCATTCAAATCATAATTAATTTTAGCATTTATGTTTCTTAAAACAAATTGTGCAGAAGAATGCTTTAAATTATGAGCTAAATAAAATGTGCATGCAAATGGCTGTTAAAGGGTCCCAACGGGATAAGGGATAGCCTAGAATACCATGCAACAGAGACACTACTGCGTGCACAATCACCGACACTCACACTGTGAGATAGAGATAGAGAGTCACCTTTGTTTTTGACAATAAGGGAAGATCAAAGGAGGACCTGGGAATTAACATAGGGAAGGGAAACTTTTATAGACAAAGCCAGGGGTGTCACAGGGCAGGGCAGGCCGACCTCGTGGTCTTGGCAATATGACTGAATGTCCCACAGGCACTCTTTATCTTCCCATATTTTTTCTATTTAGTATTTTAAGGGGCGGATCCAGACAATTTGTCTTGTGGGGTCAAAAATGAGAATTTAAAAATATTTAGAACTACATATTATTAACGAAAATAAGTCAATATGTTATTACAATTGTAGCGTATGTGTTTTCATACCCTGAAAATGTCGTATAATTATATCATTATCAATATTGTTAAGTACATAGTTTTCAATATATGCAACCAAAATATAATTTAACCATTGATCTCCCCTACGACTACGCAGTGGATTCTTGACAATCTTCATCGCAGAAAATATTTACAAACAATTCTATTTTAAATCACGAAATTAGACAAACTGACAAAGCCATTACACTTGGTACATAAAATAACGTATGATTTTTCACTTAGATTTAGCATTTTCACCTACCAAGGAAGGTGGTCGATGAATATTACACCCAACCAGCGACCATATAATGGTCACTATTATTAATTTTCAGCGATCACTTGACATTTGGTCGTGGAAACACTTGGCACGATAAATCTTATAATTTTTCCCGTCAATTTTGTCGGCCCCGTGATGATTTTCGCTAATTTGAGAATAATGAATTTCAAATCATTGATGAATAGGTAACCGTTAGAATAGATGAGTGATCAATGGATTAAATTTTTAACTATGCTACAGTGTTAGAAATTTGACATCATAATTAACATAATATTACATGATATTCTATCATTGACTGTTTAAAACAAAGTCGTCTTTTTCATCAAATCAACTCTCGTCATCTAGAATTCTGACACTACTTTTGGCGTCATTTTTCTAGCTAGGTGGTTTAAATCTTACATACATAATAATGGGGAAAAAGTAAAAAAAAAAAAAAATTGTGGGGTCATTTGACCCCACATGACCCCATGTGGGTTCGCCCCTGAGTATTTTCAATATTTTTTTCCTGATTTCATTGTGTAAAGACCAATTATAAATTTATTTCTAAAAAGGTGATCGGATAGGATTGACGTAGACATGGACGGATTTAGGGGGGATTGGGCTGGGCTGGGCTGTAGCCCGGTCCGCTCCCCGGCCCGTTAATTTTTTTAGTGTAAAAAAAATTCTTGTAAAAATTTTTTTTTTGTGTAAATTTATTTTTTGTACATATTAGTCCGACTTGTAATCTGGTTCTGAATTCGTCTCTAAATGTAAACAATTTGCTGCCTGGTATATAGCAAGAAATCCATCGAGAAATTGGTTAAAACAGATAATATATACTGCTCATAGGTTGGTCTCAGGCTGGACCCATAAATAAATAGTTGAAATTATTGTTCAAAATCAATAAAAAGTATGTGGAATAAAAAATGGAATTGGTGGCATGCCGTCGCATGTAGGCTTTGGAGGCATGCGGTTGTATGTAAGTATTGATTGAGATCTATACATAGGTGATTAATGATCAATACAAAATACACAAAAACCACTTGAGATCAAATTCCATTCCACAAGAAAGATTAAAAGTTCTTTTCTTTCATATTCAATGTTCTCTTTTTGTGTTCTTAAGTTTGAAAGGAATTTCACTAGTGTTTATTCCTTTTCAAAGCTTGATATATCCTGCAAACCATTTACCAAGAGTCCTTTTAAGCATTAAATTCAATCCAAGAGGCAGCAAATATCGTTTGTGGATGACGTGTTGAAACCTTTGTGTTTGAATATTCCTTGGAGTTCTTTATTCTATTCTTTTGTTTCTTTTCCTTTTGTCTTATTTATTATTTCCAACACAAGCAAATATTCAGGACTTCTCAGCGACCATCCTATTATGGTCCGGTCCCGTTGAGACCACCAGGCAAAGGAAAGAATATGACAGGATTGACACAACAGAACTCCACGCTTCTCAGCACAGAAAATAAAGTTGCCATCTTTATCCTTTTTTTATCTAAAGTGCACGCCTTAGATTTGGTTAGGAATAGACGGGCAATATTATTTGTGCAAGCAATAGTGAAATTGTGGAAGGCAAATGTTAAGATAATTTGTTAAATCCAACTTGGATCAGCAACAAAGTTGTAGAGTTTGAACTCAAGAAAATGACATCAAACAATATTTTCAGGGATAGATCATCTATGCATTGTGAAAGATAGATCACTTTAATGGGATCTGGTAGTGGCTTCTTTGAGTAATGTGCATGCGTTTAGGTCATCATAGTCACTTTCTTTGCTTCCACTTAAAGGTATGTATATATCAGAGTTTCAATGCTAAAAGGAGGCACTTCAAACTATGGTCTTGAGGGGTTAAAAAGTGTCCCCTTCACTTTCTTTAGTGCAGCATGGACCTAAACCACGCCCGGGAGTGGTGCCGGCTACGTTTTTTATCAGTTCTCTTTTTACGCTCGGCTATAGAGGCAGGTCAGTCCACGCCACATTTTGTTATGACATTTGATGCAACGCTTGTAACCTTTTTCATAGTAGGTCAGTTAGAAATAAGAAATCCACCGACATATTCTGGTTTCTTGAAAGAATTTGTTAAAATAGGATATATGCATATGCTAGAAAGGTCTGTGACTCTGTACATGCACCAAAATTATTTAGCAGTGATCAAGGTGAATCATTGTCATAGTTCTTTCAATTAAAACTTGATTTTATTATGTGTCTTTTACCTGTTCACAAAACATATTTGATCTTTTGCTTCTTACATCTCAACTTTAGGAAATAGCACGAGGATTTATGATATATAACAAAATTCACACACTATGAGCATAATATAGAATTTTTAAAAAATATATATATTATATTTATTAAAAGTAATTATGGCGTGATAATTTATTTAAAATAATAATTTCAATATATTTATAGTATATTAAAAAAAGAAAAAATTATGAAAGATTTTTTTTTTTAATAGTTATGTTGCCAAACATTCAATTTGATGATGACGACACTAATTAAAGAGTCAAAACCTTTTTAATAATAGCACTTTTCGAAAAAAGCTTTATTGATATAAGCACTATTCACAACAGCAATATCCAAATAGAATAGATAATTATCTAGTTTATAGAAGTGGGAACTTGCACTCAACCGGTGGCACATAAAGATCAATACACCAATCACTACATTTTGATTCTGTTTCTAGTTTGGCCAATAAAATTTTGAGTTAACACGGCATCACAAATTTATTCAAAACAAGGTTTAGGTTTTTGTTGTTATTGTTAATATGACAGTACAAAATATAATCTATCAGGAGAAATTTGTGAATTAATGGAATGATAGTTGAGCTCATTTTCACTCTTCGAAATTTTTTCGCTAATTCTACTTTATGTTCAAGTAAACATAAACTGCGTCTCAAATTGTCATATTGTCATTATCATGCCCATATTTACAAAAGAAGTTACTAGCTGAATATGTCGATATACATTGGCTTTTTTATATGATCTCTATATGCAACAATGGATGAATCACACTAATCAGCCCAAGGGTTATGAATAACTATTGGGCTTCTTACAGTGTATCGAGAGCTTTTCCATGTTAGTGAACCTGATAAAATGAGTGTACTGGACATTGGATTTGCCTTTACTATAACTTTGAAGCTTCGTTTCTGTGATGGGCGAGTGAAGGAGAGAGTCCCTGGTTTCACTGTAATCTTCACTCCCTTCGGAGCCTTAATGGTGGCATTGTAGACGGAGTCAGAATGGCCCACATTGGTGACCCTCCTCCTAAAAACACCTACAGTTGGCTCTTGATCAGTCCTCAGCATAAGTTGCATTGTAGGGTAGTTTATAGCATCTTCACCATTTGCAGGAAGCAATTTGGAACAATTCACTGATACATGACCAATTAAACTCCCCATAGATGATTCATTATAACCTTCGTGGCAAAGGAACTGAATATATGACATATCATCCATGTCGTAGACTAATCCAGGACTAACTGCTTTAGTCGGGTTTGGTTGGCCAGAGCCATATGCGAATTCAACGTCCTTGTCCACCTTAGAACTCAGTGGTGTTGCTGTTAACAAGTAAAAGCAAAGTTCTGAGTTTCCATAGGATTTTGGCCATATTAACTATTTTTCAAATTAAGAATGCTGATTAACCAGTAGTCATGATGGCAGATTTGATTGCAGCGGGAGACCATTTGGGGTGGAATGACTTCACATAAGCTGCTGTTCCACCAACGTGTGGACATGACATGGATGTGCCGGACATGAAGGTGAATTTTGAATACTGGGTATCACCTTCCAAGCCGGTAAGTGATTTCAAAGGAGTATATGATGCCAAGATATCAATTCCAGGGGCTACAATGTCAGGCTGTTCTTTGTTTTATCAGAAACTTGTTAAAAGAAACATCTAATCTTAATCAACAAACAGGAAACATCTAAATTCTAATGTATACCTTGAGAACATGTTGTGAACCTTGATTAGGACCCCGGGAAGAAAATGAAGCAATAAATGGAGCTGGGATTTTAACTTCCTCAGATTTGTATATCACCCCTGATGGTGATCTGCAAGAAGTAGAATACTCTAATTAACGTACTTCAACTGTTGAATATTCAAACAGCTATACAATGGTTTTCCGGCTATATGATCACCTGGTTGAGTTTATATATTCATCAATTTTTTTCCCTGCGCTGGAATTAACTATGGTTGCAGGAGCCATGAAGATTTGGGCTACATCAAGATATTGTTCAGTCTCAATAACAGCGCCAATCCCTTCCAGACCTTTGATTACAGAATCAGCACCCCAAGAAGATAGCTTGCAGTAAACAAGCTTTCCTTTCACCTTTTTGGGATCCATTGCATCTTTACTACAGTATCTTGAGATATCAAGAAAAGGGATAAGTAAAAATTTCCTTTGCGAAATTGTTTTTCATGGTCTAATGCTTATTAAAGAAGCTAATACCTTGATTCATCCTTACTGTCAGCATTCTTGGCTACATCAACCCCACTAGCAAGAGGGTACAACTTCTGCTTTGGTTCAAACGTGTTTATTCCAACTCCCTGTGAAATAAGTGTATATATTCATTCAAGCTAGTGTGTGTCTGGTATGCAGTGGACAAGACTCAACAATATGATAAACAAGATTTTAGCTTCATTTTCTCTTTTAGTAGTGTATAGTGCTATCCAAGCATCCCAACCAAATATGCTACCAATGTAAATTCTGTAAACTATCTTCTAGGAAGGTAAAAACTTACAGCTACCATTTGTCCATTTCCCAACACGATTTTGCTCCTTAACTGACGGTCAATGCCACTAGCTGCCACAGTGAAAATCCATGGTGCATGATTCGAAACAGTTCCATGGTTGGGTCCATCATTCCCAGCAGAGGCCACTGTGAGGATCCCTTTTCTCATTGCATGAAATGCTCCTACTGCTATGGAGTCTGAGTTGTACCTGCCTGTAAGGCCACCAATCGAGACAGATATAATGTCCACTCCATCACTAATGGCGGCATCAAATGCAGCTAGAATGTCCATGTCTGAACATCCTGAGGTGACCCAACAGACTTTGTACATAGCCACCCGAGCAGAGGGCACTGCGCCACGTGCAGTCCCTTTGGCAAGCCCGTAAAGGTTGGCACTTGGAACTAGACTTCCCGCTAGAGTAGACGATGTGTGAGTTCCATGGCCATCCACATCTATTGGTGATAGGATGTCGTTTGGGTCATGCTGTTTGTCCAACTTGAAGTACCTTGCTCCAATAAGCTTGCTTCATAAGCATTAGCAAAGTGGACCAGAAGAGGAAAAATTAAAAGTTAATATTGAATTACCTAAATACAATGGAGATAATTAGTAGGAAATCCTTTATCCTAATCATAAGTTTACATCATCCTATACAGAGAAACGAATAGTCTCTTGTCCATTGTGATAGATTTTCTTCTATGTGAAACAATGGTTTGAATTACCACTATGTCCCATTTCATGGTAGATATTTTTCTGTGAATATATTTTTCTGTAGGGGAAAAATAAAAAAGATAAGTTACTGGACTTGAATTTACTTGTTGCATCCTGAAAAATTTGCGAAGGATCCACAACTTCCTTTCCATTTTGCTGGTGGAGGGCCAAGCCCGTCATCTTTAAAGCTCTCAGATTGTGGAGTTATTCCTGGTACATGGTAAGAATATTGATCAACATAGAATTATAACAAGAAACAGAATTTTTATTTGTTGAATTAATGGTTTTCTACCTGTATCCAGTAGACCAACTATGATGTTGCTCTCCGCTTTAAAGTTTCTTCTTGCTGATGGAGTTAGCCCAATAAATTCCCACGATTTAGTGGTATGTAATTTGTGATACCGATTGGGGAAGATTGAAAGTACTTCATCCATATCTGGAAAAAAAAAATCACTTATGACCTGCAAACATTAAAACAAAATTCAAACGTAATCATAAATGATGGTTTAATTAGTATACCAGATAATGCCGTTGCTTCATCTTCAGACAGTTTTGCTGCAAATGCATTGAAGTTTCTTGTGTAGCTATGAACAAGTGACTCTGAGGCATCACTTTCACTGTTCCAATATGGATTTCACAAGTCAGACTACTTTCTTGTAGATTAATTTCATTAAATGATGGCCATGATTTCTTTATGGGGGCAAGGTTGGATACTTGGATCACTTTATTCATAAATTTGGAAATTTCGTGACATAACTTCGTTTCCATATTGCAACGTCTATGTATATATATATACATGTATACACTCAAACACACATGAACATCAGATATACTCAACCAACCTTTCCTTCAAGGATGAAAGGACATCAATATGTGTCTTGAGTGTCAATCTCTCAGTCACTGGATGATCTCTCAAGAAGACAATGTAAAATTCCTGCAAAGAATAGGATCACAATATTGATTTAATCCAAAAATTGGAAACATAAACTAAGACCTGTTCCTAATAAATTTAGATTAGGCTATACAAATCCTTTTTCTGTGATTCCGTTGTTAATTTTTGCTAATCTACTGGAAGAGCTGACTAATGTTTACCTTCTGATGATTCCCATTGGCAATTTCAAGACCTGCAAAGGTAAGGAAAATAAAAAGACTGTACAGTGGCAGCAAATTAATGTAAGCTCTCTTAGACATCTTTACTGGACTTAAACCATCAACTGATCTATTTGTGCATGCATTCTGAATATTTTGTCACATTTAAATAGGCTGAATTGCAAGGCATTGCAAAAGAAGCAAACAATGTAATCTTGAATTGACAAATGATAAGAGGATGTGACTTTAGCTTAAATTCTTACAGGTTTTGGATTGGCAAATCTTAGAAGAAAGATTGACAAAGTATATGATGATATTTTGACAGAGAGTGTCTTAAGTTTTTAATTAATATTTGAGAGAAAACTTTATGCAGCATTCGTCTTCTATTTTCGGTTACTTTTCCGGGCGTGCAGTGTTTTATTTGCTTTACGAACTGGCTGCTGAGAATAAATTAGTTTAATGTTGGTTTGTCAAGTAGTGAATAAATTAAACATAGTAGTAACCTAATCATTCATTAGCTGATTGGAAATTATCAGAGTAGCCTTGATCATTTCATCAAACTTTATGTCATGTCTTAGTATACTATAAAAACACCAAATTATTCCATGCAACCATAATAAACCAAATTTGAGCTTTTTCCATCCCTTTATATAGTCCATTGCTATTCAATCTTCTACTTGAACACATCAAAGAATATATTTGATATGCCCAGCTCTCGGTTCTCAAAACAAATGAGGAATGTTAAGAAGTTCGGAAGTAGGTAACACGAGCCCTTTATCCCACAGGTCTATCCAGAAGCAACTGTAGTTCACCAATTCCACCTAATGCTTCTATCCTTCAGCAAATATATGACAAAAACAAATTTCTATCATGTCTCGTTTTCTTATCCTTTCCAAACATGTTCAGTTTAGTGTACCATTCATTTTAGAAATTCAAGTGAATGGACTTTTTTCCGAGTATTGTTATACCACAATCGTAGGACTCGACAATAAAAAAATATGAATGAAAATTAAGAACCATATTATCTAGAACTCCTTGCTTGGATTCAAATGCAAGTTTTTCACTTTGATTTAATTGGTAGCAAAGCTGAAAGCTAGCTTAAAGTTTGTGTAAGTTACTTGTTTAAGTTAATTAGTTTCCAATTTTTACAAAGCAAGCATCATAATATAGTTATTTGTTTGTTGAATTTATTGACCAAAACAATTCAAATTCTTCTTTTTTAGTCAGTTCTAAGACTCTTAAAACTTCAGTGGTAATATTTTTATCAAGTTGAGAACTTGGCTGGCCCATGCTTCCATCCAAATTGCTGCTACTGGAAGATACAATGATGAATCTGATGTACATGAAGCTTAGTTAATTGAAATTATTAGTTATGGCTAAGAGGAATTATACAGCAAAAACTTCTGTTTATTTAGAGAAATTATGTGCAACTAAACCCCAAAACCTTAATCCACTACACTGTGATAAAACCATCGGGCATTCCATTCTTGCAGAATATTCAACTATTCACCCCCTTCAGGCCAGGGGCGGAGCCAAAGTAGAGTTGTGGGGGGCAAATTTCACAAAATTTTAATTGTGGGGGGCAAATTTGAAAATTATAAGGAATTTTTTTTTTGAAACCCCCTGCCCCCACTGTAGATCTGTCCATGCTTCAGGCTGGGTCAGCTGATGATGCAACCTCATAGGCATACTTTAGAAGCAGGAGCTGTTTTGATTTTCAATCGGGTAAGTAATATTGCCTCTATGGTTATCAAAGTTTGAAGCTGCTGTGCTACTTTTTCTAACATTAGGTCTAATTTACTTACCCTTGTGTTATACCTTTTGTAATTGAACTAAGCTTGAATTGGTTCTTTTCGGGTGTGCACTCGGATTCAATATCGATGTGTTCTTTTTGATTCTCTTATTGTTTTTTATTTGTTAGTATAATTGAAATGAAGTATGATTGTGTTTCTTGAGATCGAATTACAAACATATCTGTAGAGAGCAACAATTTTTCTGATTGGATAAAACTAAATGTATCAGATATGGCCTTTTTTCATCTTTGAACAGGTGCATGCATTCATGCCCTTTATTATGGAGAAGGATAATTTAACACACAGGTCGAGTGATATTCATAATCAATGGAAAGCCTACTGTTGATATGAATAAGTAAGATTGAGCATACAGTTGAAGGTATTTATGTATTGATCTTATGTCGCGATAGTGTTGGATATTTCTGGAGAGAGAACGATTTTGCGATCCATAGGTTGAGGATTGGAAGACATGTAAAACTTACTTCTAGTCATCTTGTAGTAAAGGTCAAAATTATTAGAGTCTTGTGTGCTATGCACATCTTGGAATTCTGCTTCGAAAAGCTGTAGTGTGTGGAAAAAAATATCCAGTCTTTAATGTGTAACTCAAGAATCAGATATGTAACCTCATATGGAAGTAAGAAATCAATGACAAGGAATTCAGTTAGAATTAAAATACATATATACTTATCAAATGTTCTTGCTTGGAGTCTTTCTTCCTAATTAATCAAGTGTCTGAATCGGTTGTTGAGTGACATGCATCACTGGCTCTCTTCTTTAGTTGGAACACCCCTTTGCTGTGCAAATCTTGTTGAATTTATTATTCAAAATCAATAAAATAGGCTTTGGAATAAAAAAAGGATTTGGAGACCAAAACTTTCTATAAATACATGATAGATTATCACATCAATTATAATAATTCAACAACTTGAGATCAAATCTTCATTCCAAAAGATAGAATTTATATTTTTTTCTTTCATATTCAAATTTCCTGAAGTGTTCTTGTAGTTTTGGTAGAATGAGTGCTGAAGTGTTTTTCTACTGTAAGACTTGATTAATCCTTCAACCCATTTGCCAATATCCCTTTAAGCATCAAATTCAATCTGAGAGGGAACAAATAATGTTTGAGGACAGCAGATTTCGTATTTAAACATTTATCTTAAATTTCTGTATTCTTATTTTTGTTTTTATTTCTTCTCCATCCCCTTTTCGTGGAAACAATATTTTCAACAATTCTCCCCGCTTGCATCAAAAAGTAATTTCCCTGTTCCTATTCCTATTGTGATTTATGTGTAAGGGTGATATTTTGGCTCTGCACATCTTTACCTTCCAGGATAAAACATTTGGCAGATCATTTGTGGACAAGGTGGCCACTGTAAAGTAATAGGAGTTGGCATCCCAGGATTTTCCAGTAATGCTGTGGAACCCCACTACATAGATAACAAATCTTGGTAAAATTTCATGGTTGATCTGCTTTGGTTTTTTATTATGTAATCATTATGACAACGAGAAAATTTAAGCGTCGCTGTATTATCTACCTTTTTTGCCACTCTGTTCCATTCATTATATCTAGTGGAAAATTTAGATCATCTTGGTTCTTAAAAACCACAAGGAGTGATATTAGTTTTCTTCAACCCTTCTCTCTTCTAAGATGTTCTATCTCCTGTCACATTTTGAAGCTAAAGATTATGGTAGTCCTCTACCCATTGTCTAGAATGCTTCTCTCACCGAGTTACCGATTTGGATAGACTGTAAGCGACTCTCAAAAAATAGGTTGCAATTTTTGCATAATACTTGCTGCGATTGCTCCTCAACTTTTGGCTTTTACTTTCCGTCTTCTTTAAAATGAACTAATAGATGGTATATTGAATACTCGTTGAGAGGTGTATTATGGAGTGTTTAGAGTTGTTGTGATTAATAGACCACGGATTACTTTATCATTACCGTCGAACTCTTGGGTTTGTTTTTATTTATTTATTTATTTTTATTTTTTTGAAATAAAGGGTAGGCATGTGTTTGTACTGATATTTAGGATTGTGTTCTCATTTCAAAAATTAATGTGGCACTCCTCTTGGTTTTCTATAACTTGCCTTTTCCTTATCATCTAAAAGAGCCAGTTTGGGAAGGCATTGTTCATGCTAGATGTCGAAAATTTGAATCGTCAACCAACACGACGTCGTTTCCTCCACGTGTTTTTTCGTCATTTCCCACCCTCTAAACCGCACACTCCTGGCCTATTCTCTGCACAATCCATCAATTCCATTCACAAATTCACACTGCGTTCATACTCGTCGCTGCTTGAATCCCACCCTTAAACCGCGCAGTAACACAACCCACAACCCTATTTTCTCTGTTGCTACTTGAATACCACCCCTAAACCGCACATCTTGAAAATTCTAACCCTCTATTTTTGCTTTCTTTTGCATAGGTTTGAAGTTTTCATCATCGAGAAAGAGATTGATCGAGAGAATGATTGAAACAAGGTTTTTGATAAGTAAATCTTCTAATTTTTCTTCAACAGTTATGATCAGCGATTCTCTCCTGATAAATTATTTTCAGTAATTTTCATGCAATAAAATTTTTATTTTATTTATAATTATTTCTTAAAAAACGTCATTATTTTTTTATGGGAGTTTCGATTTTGTGTAGAAATACATACTTTCTCCCATTTTGGTTGCTTCGGAAGGAGCATAATTAATAGTTTTGCGTTATTGGGATTGAATTTATGTCTTATTTTTCTTTATTTACGTTATTGCATATCTTTGTGAATGTATAAGCTTGGAAGTAGTCTTATTCGGTTAATTTAGATTCCTAAATATTATATTGATTGTGTGAGTATTTTAGGATTATCTTCTTGGTGGAGTGTAGTTTTGTAAGATTGCTAAATATTATGCTGTGTAGTGATATATTTTTTTTAACTGTTGAATATTTCTAACCAATTGTGTATTTGTCTTCCAAAGTAATAATGTGATATTCTTATGGGATTTTTTATATCATGTTGTAATTTCTTTTCATAGGATACAGTCAAAATAAAATGAATTCCTAAATCAAGAGATTATGGATCTTATTGAGCAAATAGAAAGCCAGAATATCATATTTGAGTTTTGGAAAATAGAATTATTTGCTTTGAGACAGTATGTTACTCTCTGGCTTGTAGACAGATCTACCACTTTTAGATGATGCTGAGTTGAGACTTATTAAGTTTTGAGGATCATTCTCAACGTAAATCACTGAAGATGTCAAAACTATCACTATGTCCTCAGAAATTGTCTCGTGTTGGGGGAAGAACTTTTGTTTTCCTTAAATTTGGACTTTATTTTAACATGTGAATATTCAAAACATACGTGTTCAAACCCCATAGAAAATAAACAAATAAAGATGAGCATAAATGCATTGCTCGCTTCATTATCTAATTACTTCTGGCTACGTTTCTAATTTTTTAGACATGAAGTATGAAAAAGAAATTGTTGTGGTTGACATTGTTTAGTAGATCTATTGTTAGCTATTTGTTCCTTAATGAAGTTTAATCTTCTTTAGTTTTTTTTCTTTAATATGAATGGCCGTAGAGGTGTTGATATCGATCAATTAATGAAGAACATTCTTTAGTAGCTGATTCATTTTTCTTCGGTTGATTAGTGAAAGTCTGGATATGATCTCATATGTTACATGCCGACGGAACATCATATCGAACGGCTGATCCCTTTCTTGTACCGCTTATGTCTCTGACCACCATTCTTGTGAACTGTATCATTTGTTCTTCCATAGTTCTTGCTAACTGGTGCTACTTCATAAATGTGGTAGATCTCATTGTTATATCCTACTATACTTGATTTCAAACTTGTGTTGTCATAAATTTGAAATAAATGGAATCGATCTAATTGACATGCAAACTACTTTTCTTATGCCACGAAATGTTACTTTGTGGATTTTGGTAACAACGATATTAATTTATGAAGTATTACACAACTCTTTTTTTTAACATATCATATTTATTCTAATTTCATAGCATAATATAATTACTTATAGCTTTTATGGAACTTATCTTTCAAGTATGTGATCTTTTTCATCTATTTGTATATGTTCATTTGCCGATAGAATCCTTGTGTTTGTAAAACTTCTTTGGTTATAGTTTATTCGTGTTTCTACCTCAACATATAGCTTCTTCCATTTTTTCCCCCTTCAATAACATGATAATTAACTCGATTTCCACGTTAATTATAATGCTACTTATTTTGTGTAAATTTTTAGTATGTGGTAACATACGATGTTTATGTGCAGATGATGTTTATAAATGTTTGCAAGAACAAATTTTTATGTATTTCCATATATTGATTACGAATTGTTTTTATACTGCAATTATTTTTTAATCTTTTTACTGATTCAGTGTTCTTTGCTTCAGTATTTTTATCATGATATGATGAAAGTATAAGGCTGATTCAAAACTTGATTATTCTTTCTCTTATCTTTTTATGGTTCCTTCAAATATTCATTGAATTTAAGTGAGTTATTTTTTTTTTCGATTCCCTCATATTTTTTTTATTCCATCAATATTTTTGATGTTCGCATGAAATTTTCTGAATTGTGTTAATTGAATTTTGGGAGTTGATTAATCCCTATACATCTGTTTTCTGGGGAAAAAGCGTCTAGGTTAAACACTACGTTCTTGCTAAACATTGTTTATTAATCTGTTAAACATTGATATAACTTAGGAGTATTAAAAAGTATGGAAAATTTTTTAGTTTACGTATAGAATTTTTATTGTGTGAATGTGTGGTTGAAAATCAGTATGTAGAAAAAATAGTTTTGAAAGAATGGACAAACAAGGGCATATTGTGCGATCTTTTTGACTTTTCTATTCTTGTTTTTCTTTCATGTTTCATGTTACCAGATTCACTTTGTTTTTATCATTAGTGACAAGACCAAGTTTAAACTAAGTTGAGTTCTTCCTCCAAGAAGTGAAGGAAATTATCATACAACAGATGGTGCACTGAAGGCTCAAGCTGTTAATGTCCAACCTATTGCAGTTCCGTCAATTCCTGGTGGTGAATTGAAAGAAATTACAAATAACTTTAGCTTTGATTCTTTAATTGGGGAAGGCTCATATGGACGAGTATATTATAGAATCCTTAAGAATGGTCGGGCTGCTATAATAAAGAAGTTGGATGCAAGCAAGCAACCAGATGACGAATTCTTAGCCTAGGTTTCATTTGAATTTTGTAACTTATCCAGTCCTACAAGGAATCAGAAGTTCATCATTGAGTATATCCAACAAATTATTTTTGAACGTACAGGTTTCTATGATATCAAGGCTAAAGCATGAAAATTTTGTTGAATTACTTGGTTATTGTGTTGATGGAAATTAGCGCGTTCTTGCCTACGAATTTGCATCTAATGGTTCTCTTCACAATATTCTTCATGGTATGTTAACACCTCCCTGCTAAAATATTTTTATGTTCCTTGTTTGCTTCCCTTGCCTTTGTACTAAATGGGAATGCTCGAGTTTGTGTCTGGTCTGACCTTTCATTGTTGTTCTGTTTGCTGATTCATACTAACAGCTTGACGAGAAATTTCAATTTTCAATCTTCACTTGTCATCTTTCAGGAAGGAAAGGTGTTAAAGGAGCACAACCTGGTCCTGTTCTTTCATGGGCACAGCGTGTAAAGATTGCAGTAGGTGCCGCTAAGGGACTTGAATATTTGCATGAAAAAGCAGATCCTCACATCATCCACCGTGATGTTAAGTCCAGCAATGTCTTAATCTTTGATGATGATGCTGCTAAAATTGCTGACTTTGATTTGTCAAATCAAGCTACTGATAAGGTTGCACGTCTTCACTCAACTCGTGTTCTTGGAACATTTGGTTATCATGCTCCTGAGTAAGATACTTTTGGAATGACATATACATTTTTCTCCCTTCTCTCCCATGTTAAAATATGGGTTATGCTAGGCATACATAATGTGTGCCATAATAAACAAATGGCGTCCCCCTATTGGGGGGCTCTTGTGGGCCAGACGCCTCCCCAATAGGGATGCCATTTGTCAATTATGTCACCCATTATGTAAAATGCTATGTACAAATAGCATTTTCCTTAAAATATTGAGAATATTACTACTGCAAGTGTTCCTAGGAATGATTGTAATGGTAATAGATGACTTTGCTTTATTATGCATGAGAAGAATGTGCTTGTGAGTTTTTGAATCTTTTTCTTATTGGAATTATAGCAAACTAATGTTTCCATTCCTTTTTATTTTTTCGCTGGGTGCTTGTTCATTACATTTTTTTAGTAGGATTACAAATATTATTTGAATCGAAAAAGAAGCAGATGGAGATTTATTTCTTTTTGAGTAGCCATATTTCACTTCATTTAGTAATCTTAATTTTTCACCATACTTACTGGTGTTTTGATAATTTGATTTTGAAAAGTTGGTTTTCCTCTACTTTAGTCAGTATTTTAATATTGTGGCCAAGATTTGTTGATGTTGACAAAATCTTTGGTTGTAAAAATTGTTTCCTGTCTTGAATTCTTTTGAGAGTCCTCTTCATATACCTTGTGCATACCAACCAAACAAAATAAAGAAGAGAGAATTAATACGAGGGAATGTAAAGTGAATAGATTGATCTGTAAATTCAAATTTTGATCATTTCCATTGTTTATCTTTTCTAGCCGATCTACAGTATTGTTTGCTAAGCCTTATCTGAATTTATTTTTTATGCTGTTGTTTCTCGATGGTAATCTTCCTTACGCAACATCAATCTTCTCGACAATATAGTTCTCTTAAATGTTTGGCGTGGTTGTTTATGGTTTTCCCATTCCTTCTAACCAACCACCCCTCAGCGTCATCGGCAAAATACCCAGGACCAAAATCAATTGGACCTAATAGAACTACACAGTCGCACACGCTTGCACACTCACCCACATGTATATATTAATGAAGTTATGCGTTCTTTCTTGATTTTAAACTATCATACAACATTGTGTTATATTGAGATGTAGCAAAAGCTTGATTCCCCTACAAACATTACCTTACTTATGGTGCAATCTTGTCTATTGTACATAAAAATCACTCCAAGCTATTAGGTAGCCAATTACATTCCAACACGTGCATTGCACGTGCGTACCACTAGTGTTTTTAATAAAGTTCCGGACCTTGTTTGCTGGTACATCAATTGATGATGTTTGGGTCCATTTCTTAATTTTAATAAATAAATTAGATAAGGTTCTTGATCATGCTATTCTTTAATATACAATAGCTAATCATCTAGGAGGTTAAGATATTTATTATAAAATAGAGGCTACAATTGTGGATGAAGACTCGGAAAAGACATCAATACTACAACTCAGCAGAGCTTAGCAATTCTATGGCATGATAGCAAAATATGGAAATAAATCATTAGTTAAAAGCTTGCGTGATAACAACCATGATCTTGTGAAATCTTGTAATTAACGTTAGCATGATTATAGCAGTTTACAATGTAACCATTATTTTGTAAAGATATATAAAGTCTTATAAATACAGAGCATCACATCCTGTTATAGGTGTAACGAATTTCCCCAACTCTTATGTTCTTATTTTTCTTCTTGATATCAGAGCTAAACGATGTCTTCCGCTTCGTTGAATGTTAGTAACTTTGTCACTCTTAGGCTTCGACAACTATAGCGTGAGCAAATGCTTGCACTTGCTGAAAGTCAAGAACTTAAAACTTTTTCATAAGAGAAAACCCATGCCCAGCTGCAGTACTTCCAGTGCTTGATGGTAGCAACCCCATTGCTAATCCAGTATACAAATACTAGAAAATAGCAGATCGTTTACTTAGAGGGTAGATTATTGGTGTTGACCTATGGTTGATCATGACCTTAATGTTTTGATTATAACAAACAAGTCCATCTTGTTATGCAGATGATGTTTATAAATGTTTTCAAGAACAAATTTTTATGTATTTCCACATATTGATTACGAATTGTTTTTATACTGCAATTATTTTTTAATCTTTTTACTGATTCAGTGTTCTTTGCTTCAATATTTTTATCATGATATGATGAAAGTATAAGGCTGATTCAAAACTTGATTATTCTTTCTCTTATGTTTTTATGGTTTCTTCAAATATTCATTGAATTTAAGTGAGTTATTTTTTTTCGATTCCCTCATATTTTTTTTATTCCATCAATATTTTTGATGTTTACATGAAATTTTGTGAATTGTGTTAATTGAATTTTGGGAGATGATTAATCCCTATACATCTGTTTTCTGGGGAAAAAGGGTCTAGGTTAAACACTACGTTCTTGCTAAACATTGTTTATTAATCTGTTCTACATTGATATAACTTAGGAGTATTAAAAAGTATGGAAAATTTTTTAGTTTACGTATAGAATTTTTATTGTGTGAATGTGTGGTTGAAAATCAGTATGTAGAAAAAACAATTTTGAAAGAATGGACAAACAAGGGCATATTGTGCAATCTTTTTGACTTTTCTATTCTTGTTTTTCTTTCATGTTTCATGTTACCAGATTCACTTTTTTTTTATCATTAGTGACAAGACCAAGTTTAAACTAAGTTGAGTTCTTCCTCCAAGAAGTGAAGGAAATTATCATACAACAGATGGTGCACTGAAAGCTCAAGCTGTTAATGTCCAACCTATTGCAGTTCCGTCAATTCCTGGTGATGAATTGAAAGAAATTACAAATAACTTTAGCTCTGATTCTTTAATTGGGGAAGGCTCATATGGACGAGTATATTATAGAATCCTTAAGAATGGTCGGGCTGTTGTAATAAAGAAGTTGGATGCAAGCAAGCAACCAGATGACGAGTTCTTAGCCTAGGTTTCATTTGAATTTTGTAACTTATCCAGTCCTACAAGGAATCAGAAGTTCATCATTGAGTATATCCAACAAATTGTTTTTGAACGTGCAGGTTTCTATGATGTCGAGGATAAAGCATGAAAATTTTGTTGAATTACTTGGTTATTGTGTTGATGGAAATCAGTGCGTTCTTGCCTACGAATATGCATCTAATGGTTCTCTTCACAATATTCTTCATGGTATGTTAACACCTCCCTGCTAAAATATTTTTATGTTCCTTGTCTGCTTCCCCTGCCTTTGTACTAAATGGGAATGCTCGAGTTTGTGTCTGGTCTGACCTTTCATTGTTGTTCTGTTTGCTGATTCATACTAATAGCTTGACGAGAAATTTCAATTTTCAATCTTCACTTGTCATCTTTCAGGAAGGAAAGGTGTTAAAGGAGCATAACCTGGTCCTGTTCTTTCATGGGCACAGCGTGTAAAGATTGCAGTAGGTGCCGTTAAGGGACTTGAATATTTGCATGAAAAAGTAGATCCTCACATCATCCACCGTGATGTTAAGTCCAGCAATGTCTTAATCTTTGATGATGATGCTGCTAAAATTGCTAACTTTGATTTGTCAAATCAAGCTACTGATAAGGCTGCACGTCTTCACTCAACTCGTGTTCTTGGAACATTTGGTTATCATGCTCCTGAGTAAGATACTTTTGGAATGACATATACATTTTTCTCCCTTCTCTCCTATGTTAAAATATGGGTTATGCTAGGCATACATAATGTGTGCCATAATTGAAAAATGGCGTCCCCCTATTGGGGGGCTCTTGTGGGCCAGACGCCTCCCCAATAGGGGCGCCATTTGTCAATTATGGCACCCATTATGTAAAATGCTATGTACAAATAGCATTTTCCTTAAAATATTGAGAATATTACTATTGCAAGTGTTCCTAGGAATGATTGTAATGGTAATGGATGAGTTTGCTTTATTATGCATGAGAAGAATGTGCTTGTGAGTTTTTGAATCTTTTTCTTATTGGAATTATAGCAAACTAATGTTTCCATTTCTTTTTATTTTTTCGCTGGGTGCTTGTTCATTACATTTTTTTAGTAGGATTACAAATATTATTTGAATCGAAAAAGAAGCAGATGGAGATTTATTTCTTTTTGAGTAGCCATATTTCACTTCATTTAGTAATCTTAATTTTTCACCATACTTACTGGTGTTTTGATAATTTGATTTTGAAAAGTTGGTTTTCCTCTACTTTAGTCAGTATTTTAATATTGTGGCCAAGATTTGTTGATGTTGACAAAATCTCTGGTTGTAAAAATTGTTTCCTGTCTTGAATTCTTTTGAGAGTCCTCTTCACATACCTTGTGCATACCAACCAAACAAAATAAAGAAGAGAGAATTAATACGAGGGAATGTAAAGTGAATAGATTGATCTGTAAATTCAAAATTTGATCATTTCCATTGTTTATCTTTTCTAGCCGATCTACAGTATTGTTTGCTAAGCCTTATCTGAATTTATTTTTTATGTTGTTGTTTCTCGATGGTAATCTTCCTTACGCAACATCAATCTTCTCGACAACATAGTTCTCTTAAATGTTTGACGTGGTTGTTTATGGTTTTCCCATTCCTTCTAACCAACCACCCCTCAGCGTCATCGGCAAAATACCCAGGACCAAAATCAATTGGACCTAATAGAACTACACAGTCACACATGCTTGCACACTCACCCACATGTATATATTAATGAAGTTATGCGTTCTTTCTTGATTTTAAACTATCATACAACATTGTGTTATATTGAGATGTAACAAAAGCTTGATTCCCCTACAAACATTACCTTACTTATGGTGCAATCTTGTCTATTGTACATAAAAATCACTCCAAGCTATTAGGTAGCCAATTAAATTCCAACACGTGCATTGCACGTGCATACCACTAGTGTTTTTAATAAAGTTCCGGACCTTGTTTGCTGGTACATCAATTGATGATGTTTGGGTCCATTTCTTAATTTTAATAAATAAATTAGATAAGGTTCTTGATCATACTATTCTTTAATATACAATAGCTAATCATCTAGGAGGTTAAAATATTTATTATAAAATAGAGGCTACAATTGTGGATGAAGACTCGGAAAAGACATCAATACTACAACTCAGCAAAGCTTAGCAATTTTATGGCATGATAGCAAAATATGGAAATAAATCATTAGTTAAAAGCTTGCGTGATAACAACCATGATCTTGTGAAATCTTGTAATTAACGTTAGCATGATTACAGCAGTTTACAATGTAACCATTATTTTGAAAAGATATACAAAGTCTTATAAATACAGAGCATCACATCCTGTTATAGGTGTAACGAATTTCCCCAACTCTTCTGTTCTTATTTTTTTTCTTGATATCAGAGCTAAACGATGTCTTCCGCTTCATTGAGTGTTAGTAACTTTGTCACTCTTAGGCTTCGACCTGAAAACTATCGACTATGGCGTGAGCAAATGCTTGCACTTGCTGAAAGTCAAGAACTTACAAACTTTCTCATAAGAGAAAACCCATGCCCAGCTGCAGTACTTCCAGCGCTTGATGGTAACAACCCCATTGCTAATCCAGTATACAAATACTAGAAAATAGCAGATCGTTTACTTAGAGGGTAGATTATTAGCACTCTTGTAGAAGAGGCACTGAGCCATGTTATTGGCCTTGATACCTCAGCACAAGTTTGGAAAGCACTCAAGGAAGCGTATGCCCAGTCTTTTCTAGAAAGACAATTTCAATTGAATCAGTAACTCGCGTATATGAAGAAAACCCAGGAAGTGCCTCTCAACGAATATATTCGAAAGTTCAAAGAAGTATGTGACAACCTTGCTGCTAGGGGTGGGCAAAAAAACAACCGACCCGACGAAATCAACCGACCCGACCCGACCCGACCGGTTTGGGTCCCTTTTTTTGCATTTGTTGGGCGATTTTCGGGTTTCGGGTTGGGTGGTCGGGTTGGGTCAGGTTTCGGGTTAGCACACTAAACCTCGATAGAACCCGACCCAACCCAACCTGAAAATTAAAAAAAAAAAAAAGGAAAAAAAAACGTTAAATTGAAAAAACAAAACCCTAAAGCTAAAAGTCATTACCTTCACTCCAGCAATCCAGCCACACTAAGCAGCCTTCATTTACGCTCTCTCCACCATCCTTCTGGCCCTTTACGCTAACCACTTCCCCTGATTCTTCGACATTTAACTTCTCTCGAATCTCTGATTCTCTGACAGAGATCTTTTGACTTTTGTTCTGAGTGGTAATTTCTTGCAAATTTGTTCTATTCAATTATTTACACTTTTTTTTTCACTTTAGTTTCGATTTAACTTCGTCGTATATTATGTCGTGGGAATACCTTGTGCTGTGATTTTTTCATTCGTCTTTCACATTAGAGGACTGGTGCATTCTCTGTCCCTCTCTATCGAAAAAGCAACAAGTCAGTGTATTCTCTTAATGAAGCTAAGCTTATAATTGTTGGTTGTTGTTAGCAGAGACTTTGGATGGGGATCATTTGTGGACTTTCCATTCAAGTTATTGCACTCTTGATGATAAATCTATGCACTAATTGGGATGGAGAGGTGAGGCGTACTGTACCTAATTAATATACACTTCTTACTTCTCCAAACCAATTAGCTAAATTTGAACTGCATTTCTCAAACAGGCGAAGAAGGCGATAGATGGAGTTCAAAATTAACAATTGTGGTTAGTCAAATTTATGCTATACCGTTGTGATTATGGAAGTTCATTATCTTTTTAGATGAACTATGGAAGGATGGTTAATTTGGAACAAATTTCAATTTGAGGACTGATTTGAAAGTTAATTGTTATTTGCAGTTATTCTTGTGTCCTTGTTAAGTTTCTTTTATTTATTAAAATTAGAAATTAAGGTGAAGAAATAACTTTTATACTAAATAAGAACGTAGAAACTTTATTAAAATACCTAAGAAACTCTTTATATAGTTGAAAATTTCAGTGATAAATGGTCTATTTGAATAATATAATATAAGAACAATTGTGCACTAAACGAATGACAGTATCTTTTTTATAATACTTATTCAATAATATAACTAGTTCCATTTATCTGTTAAGAATACATATTGTCAAATATTTATTTAATAATATAACTAGTTCCATTTCAGTGAGGTATGCAATTGTTTGGTAAATAGTTTTAAGAACAATTTTAGTCATTCCTTTAAGTTTGGTGTATGATTAACACTTTAGAATCCCATCCAATACATATAATCCGACCAAATCTTTTCAAAATCCAATACTTGCAGACAGACATCCCTTGTTACGCTTTTTCAATGCTGAAGTTATTAACTTTCTAATTTTCATGTTGGCTGATATATAATGAATGAGACTATATTTTGTTTTCATGGTCTGAAATCTGTTTTGACACAACAACTTGGCTTGGGGATCAAAGATTTGAACAACCACTTAGCATTCTCAGCCTCAAGTAATATCCTCCTCTAGAATTAATTGTATTTCGGTGACTTTTTATTCGAATGGTTGTATGTTGTATTAAATATTAATCTTATTTGGATGACATATTGGTTTTATTTGAAATATATGGTAATAAATTACGCTTTTGTCCAAACCGACCAACCCAACCCAACCCAACCCAACCCTACCGATTCTTGATTGGGTTGGGTTTCAACGTGTATTTGGGTTGGGTTGGGTTGGGTTGAAATTAATTCAAACCGATTGTGTTGGGTTGTGTTTAGGTTGGGGGAAAAATCGACCCAACCCAACCCATGCCCATCCCTACTTGCTGCTATTGGGCACATGGTTGATAACAAAAACAAAGTTTTTTTCATTGCTTACAGGACTTGGTGCACGCAATGAACCCTTAACTACATCAATGCTTAAACCACCAACGCCATCTTATAATGAGGTAATTCCCCTACTACATAGCTATGAAACAAGGCTGAACTTTCACACTCCCAAATCCTCTCAATATACTGCTTTTTATGCTGACAAAAATGTTCCCAAAAATCCTAAACCCACCAACAATTTTTCCTCCAAAGGAAGAGTCTTCATCCCTGCTAATCAGCCCTACAAAAACTTTAGCAATGGCTCTTCTTCAAACGCTTCCCCTCGAGAGAATCACAAGGACATCACTTGTCAAATTTGTGGCAAGAAAGGACACCCTGCTATTCGTTGTTGGTATAGGTTCAATCATTCTATCCAACCAGACAACTTGCCTCAAGCATTCACAGCCTTTCAACTTAATTTTGACACCATGACGAATGGACATCATATACCGGCACATCAGCACATATGACCTCTAATGAAGATAACCTACATAATCTTAGACCTTATTCCGATAATGATCATGTTATGTTAGGAAATGGAGAATTTCTAAAAGTAATTTATACTGGTGATGCAATACTCGGGTCTGGACAATCTGCTATTGTTCTAAGGAATGTTCTTCTTGTACTTGAGTTAGAAAGGAGTCTATTATTTATTGGACAACTCACATCTAATTATTCAGTGACTTGTGAATTTTCTAATAATGACTTTGTGATTAAGGACAAGTTGACACAACAGGTGCTAGGCTAAAAAGCGTAATTTGTATGCAATCTTAGCACCTCCAGTGGCTTTGTTCTCCTCCAGATTTCAGGTTGCTTCAGAAGACATCTAGCACCAACATCTCAGGGATGTTCAAGCT